ATTGATAGACGATAAGCTCCTCAGGAGTTGCAGCCGGCAGCTCCCGACGAATGTCGTGAAGATGTTGAAGCACTTGCTCCACTGAACGCGCTGGTTTGGCGTTGAACATACGGCAAAGCGCATTGTAAGAGGAGGCCCCGGATGACAAGACCACGGCTTCAGTGAACCAGTTGAGAAGCCAAGAAGCGCTGGGAATCACCGGCGGCGTCAACGCGGAAAGCGATTTACGAAGATCTGTAACGAGAGACGCCGGACCCACGCTTAAGACAACCCAATTGGTAGCAGCTGAATCAGACAGAGTGTAGCCGGCCAAGTCGAGGTATCCAACTAAATCGTCGACCAAGAAGGATAGGTAATCGGGCAAACTCAATTGCACTTTGGCTGCAGCGTCCGCTGAGACAAGACGACGTCTGTCAGGCTGCGGGGGCTCGAGGGGACGAAGGCGCCGAGGCACAGTGCCCGGCTGTGAATCTGACATTGTAGCATCACCGTTGACCGGCGACGGAAGCGGCACCGGATCCACGGCAGTAGGAATAGGGACAGCCCGAGGTTGTGACCCAGAAGGCTGATCAAGCGAAGCGACCGTAGGCGCCGGTGCAAGCGCCAAGGCCGCCATCGGCGAAGTAACGGCGTTTACCGCCGGATCGGCCGAAGCTGTATTCATCCTCGGAGAAGATACAGGAGACGAAGAAGTTTGAAGAACGGTAGGTAAAGCCGACCGACGATAAAATGCAAGAAATGGCCGCAAAAGCATAATCCCAGAAAGAAAAATTTCACTGTCTCGATACCAATGTTACGTTAAGGCTTATCACAACCAGTCATGGTGGTGTCGAAAGACACCGGATGCGATTACACCAGAGAAGGTGTAGCCATCCAGTGTACGACCCGCACTAATGTACGACGTCGCAAAAGGAAGATCTTGAGAATAGCTGAGTGAACCCCGTTGAAGAGAAGCATTGAGAGTTATGTAACTGCTCTTGCACGTTACAGTGTGAGGCTTCCCAACAACTTTGTGTGATAGGCTGGACATGCCAGGCGTGTTCAGTGGAATATGCAAAATATCCTCGTTCGTCGCCAAGGACAATGAAGTCCTCCGTCAGCATCATCGATCTGATCTGTTTTGGACCTCGAGCGTGTTGGTTTTGTTTCGGTTTCAGTTGTAGTAGGTTGGCTGTTGGCGGCTATGGTGCCAGTGGCCTTGGTAGGTGGCGGTGTTGATGGTGGTTTTGGGCTACTTTACCTGGTCGGTCAGTCAAAGGCTTGGTTAGTACACAAATGATCAGTCCTGCAACATCACGGTTTGGGGATGGAGCCATTGTGGAGCCATCGTGTGAGGCCCACAGCCTCTTAACACTATTAGGACTATTGCAAACCTTTGGCAAATGTCCATTCGATGGTTGCAGTGGTTGTTTCGCTATCAATACATGCGGCGTTGTGTCCTAGGCTTATCTTGGGATCGGCATCCGCCGCCGATCGGTACTTTTCCTGAAGTCTTGATATAGCATGCGGCTCTACATGTCGTAAAAAGCAATTCACTTTTGCCGTACATGTTTGCCGGAGAGCACCAAGATGTGTGTGTATTACACCTTCGGTTATGTTACATCACAACTTCAGAAAAGTACCGTAACGGCGGATGCAGATCCCGTGATAAGGCCTGCAGGATACTTCAAGCTCCCGAGCGGTAAGGGAGGAAGGGAGATCTCGCATGTAACTCCGAGGTCTTTTGACCGGTTGGTCTCGATACCAAAGTTGTAACAAAGCTTGCAGTTGGCAAGCAGTTGCGAAAAAGGAAATTATCCAACGATAAAGGTGGTATTGATAAATACCGTTTGGTATTGGAAGATTATGAATAGTTCTTGGATGTACCGTTGGTACGATACCGTTGGCCCGGTGAGCCAAGGGCCGCCTTAGCGGCGTTACATCGCATGTAACGTATTATCACTGGATCCTCGCCACCTGGCATCTCACCCAATAATAGTATCGCCAATGCTTATGGTGAACAGCCCACATTTGTTTTGAGCAGGCGGCTCTTGCACCGCCACTACTAAGTGAGATATCCGCTCATCTATCTAGATGCCAGCCGCAAAAGTACTCGATGTAAATTGATAATCTTACAGCTTTATCTAAAAGAACGAATTATTACCAACGGTATCAATCATACTGTAGTGCTGCGTAAGGAACCAGCAAGCAAGTCTCATTCAGCAAAAGGCCCGGCTGAGGAGGTACAAACAGCTGCCCATCAACATCATAGCACGGCCACCTAGGGATACCGAGCAAAGCCACGGACCTTGCACAGTACCCCTAACTGAGGGACGAAGGCGATCCTATGTAACAGGTAGGTGAGGAAAAGGACGCTGAGACGTCTGTCGACAGACCGCCACCTCATCGTTGGCGCACCAAATGGCTTATTAGCCATCATCGATTTTAAATACCGTAGCCTGCATACGTCCCAGCAACGCTCTCATATCCTTGGCATCTTAGAAATGTCCTAACAGTAAACCTTCGTAAAAGACACGGACAGATATATCGACACGGAGACACAGACAGCACACAGGCACGCAGACAGGCACATGCGCAGGCCGGTGTACAGGCATAAAGGCACACAGACAGGCAGACAGGCACACACAGGCATATAGGCGCAGACAGGCGCAGACAGGCGCAGACACGCGCAGACACGCGCCCTTCCTTCAACTTGATCAAGAAAATAACCTAGCCAGCCGACCACAACTACCACTACTGGCTGCCAGTGAACTCCTAAAAACTTATCCTGAGCCAGAACGAACAAAGAAAGGCTCGCGGGGAAAACAGGTACCTATTCCGTTGTGCACAACCAGCTCCCAACTTGCGTACAGCCCTCCATGCATGCTGCATCAAATGGAAAGACCCGTCACAGAAGGACTAGGACTAACTACTCCCAAAGGCAACAACTTGGATAAGCCTTTTGCATCTCTCCTGCTTCTTCATGCCTTCCTATCTTATCAAACTCGGCAATCATGGACAATCCTACACATTTCCGACAGCTTATGAGGCCTCCTTCGACGACCGCTGCTGCTGTTTGCGGGCCGTGTTGTGAAACTGAAGAAACATATTCATGCCACCTGGCAAACACTCCAACTCCATTGGATCTCCGTTGACGTGGGCAGACGCGCCTATTCACGCCTTTTCCCCTTGCCTCATCATCGCCTCTATCTCGACCGATCTCTCTCCAGCGAGGTACAGCACCACTGGCCAGCCGTAAAATTGATTCAAACAGAAGTGTGAAATCGACTTGCGCTAGCGGAACCTACACACATTATTGAAGCGCGTCTATGTATGGCCTGCCTTGCAATTGACGGGGCGCACCGGTCTACCTCATACGAGGCCCCCCATCCACACCTGAACGAGCCAACCCCCCTCCCTCTTGACTATGCGATTTTGCAAAACAAAACAAACAATGTTTCTACACGCTTCACCTTCACCTTCGCCGCCACCACCGCCAACCATCGCTGCCATCAAATACAGTCGCCTATTGCCCGCACCAGTCACCAGTCTGCCACATATCAGCCACCCGCCACTAGTAAGGTCCAGAGGCGCAGGACGAGCCCCATCCAGACCCGCAGCCAGCCCAGCAGCCAGGATGAACGCGCCAACCGCGTCTGCAGCTCTCAGGCAGAGCATTACCAGGCCTGATCGGCGGGCACACGCACTTACACACACACCCGAGCGGCATGACAACAAAACAAACAAATTACCTATAGGCTTCGCCGCCATCGAAAACTACTGTCATCACCATCACTGTCTTCCTGTAAACACGTCTACTACGTGCTAGGCCTTCACGGCGCCTTAACGACCGCCCCGCCACTAGCCAGGACGATCACCGTCCCCATCCCAGCAGGATGAATGCGTCTGCAGCTTTGCAGAGCCCTGGCCGTTTCTGACAGCTTGATGTTTTCTAGCTGTCTTCAATGCGGCGCACAAACCATCGTCTATACACACACACGTGCCAAAGCGCTCTCCCGTTAACATCTTCAGAGGACTTCACAGCGGCTACTAGCGGCACTACCGACAGATTTTCTCTCTCGAATTTCCGGCAACGTGCGTGCAGCAGCACGAAGCTCGTCAGCCACTACATGGATTTTTTCAGTCCAATCTAATGGATACCGTGACTGGCCGGCAGGCACGCTTCTTATATAGACACGTCGATATTAATAAAAACACCGCAGAGGACAACTATACACACGCACGCACACACACACATGCGCACACGCATGCACACGCACACGTACACACGCACGTGCCGTGCATGTGCAGCGCCGCCAGAGGCACTGCAGCTGCAGGAAACACGTACGCCCCGTGGCGTGCACACCCATGAACCAACACATAACACACATACATACATATGGGTTACATGCATCACTGCGGAAGCAATGGAGCAGGCGAAGGAGCTTGTGTGGGTAAATCACAACGGTTGTGTGACGTGATGGGTGCGTGTGCACGTAACCCTTCGTAATATATACAGACATAAAGCGAGCACGCGGACAGCTGCAGCCACATCCCGCAATAGTGACACGTCACGTTTCCACTGGTAGGACGCGCAGCAGGGCCTATCCTAACCTTGCCATATCGTGCCTCACGGCACTGATGCAGCCTGACCTGCAGCGACAACCATACCTGCACAGGGAGCCACCCGCTGCGTGTCCTTTAATTCAACCGCCGCAGCCACACAGAAATAACCAAACTATACCACACCGCATGCCTCGGCGCTTTCGGCGGCTTGCCGCGTCCATATCTTTGCCACCCAACCGCCCAAACCCTCCGAATGAAGTCGCCCGACTGAAGGGCCACTGCTGTCATGATAAGCTAATCCTTGTGCAGCCTCCCTCGCCCCCGATTCCCATGGCGGAAACAGCACAGCGTATGCTTCTGCCCGGCGCATTTATGTATATGTGACGGCAAGCTTGACCTTGGGCGCATCAGAGGCGGCCGCCAGCGTCAGGTAGGAGCGCAGCAGATCTAGAAGCTTAGCGAGGACCTGCCGAAAGCAGATTCTCCACACGCGCTACGACGTGCCGGCTGTAGTGGAAGTGCTTTAGCTCGTGCAGCTGCATCCGTACTCTAGCCAGCATGGCCTCGCGCTGCTCGTCGGTGCAGACCTCCAGCACCTTCTGTACCACGTAGTTGCCAAACGGATTCCTCATCATGCCCTGCACGGGGTCCTGTGGCCAACACCCGCACACACCGCCCACCCGCTGGGTTATTACAGTGCCATAACGTTACAGGGAATGGTCGACACGTTGAAGCAGTAGAAAGTGCAGAGATGGCGAGCCATATTAGGACATGGACGATGAATCAGAATCCCATCGGAGGAAGAGAGGATGACATCTTTAGACTTCATAATCGCAACCTTATGGAGAGCAACGTGCGCGGGCTAGGCGCAGGCTAGCGCGCGCTGCTTGGTAAGAAGCTTTCGGCGGCAAACAATACGTGGGAGATTCCAGCGTCATATGTGTTCCGTAGACACTAACCACCCGCCACCTACCCTGATTTGAACACTGTATCCAGTTTCCAGCTGGATCTGCAGGGTCTGCGCGCCCAGCATGCGATTGATGATCAGGTCGCGATCCGCGGTGCTCCCGTGGATTAGGCACTTCTCGATCACGTTGCTCGCGAATTTGTGCATCGACAACTGCACTACGGTAGCCGACAGGCTGCGGATAATGGAAGACTTCTCCTCTGGTGTACCCCTCTCCAGCACATGCTGGATCACGTAATTTCCGTACTGGTCCTGCGCTAGCTGTACGGCGGCGCCAAGAATATCGGCCATGACCGCCGCGCGACGACGCTGGTCACGCACGTACTTGAGGATGTGGCGAATGATGCGGCAGCCATGTAGATGCGTGGACAAGGGCACCACGCAGGTGACGATGTTGTCCAGAAGCCCCGCACTGTGATGTGGGGGTACGTACTCGATGCATTTTTGGATGACGTGGCTGCCGTTTTGGTCGCACACACAGCGCATGACGTGGCCGTTCAGCTCCGAAACGATGTCGACTTGCTGATCCTCCGTAAAGACCTCCAGCGCCTTCTGCATGGTGCGGCAGCCAAACAGCTGCAAGCTCAACGACAGCACATTGCCCTGTATGGCATTGGCGATGCGGGCCCGATGCTCCGGAGTGCCTGCATACAGAGTTGGCAAAGACAAGGCAAGGACAGGTGATCGTGTCGTGAGGGATAATATTGCATGCCAGTCCTAGCTAGCCTGGCTAGACCAATCAGCTACGTTGCCATGGATTTGATAAACCCCCCACCCTTACCAGCTATCAACCCTTCCTACCATGCTCCAGGAATTTCTGGACAACGTAGTTACCAAACATGTCCGTCATAAGCTGCAGGAGGTGTGGCAGCACGTCGTTGAAGGCCGCGTCGATCTCCTCTGGGCGCAAGCTCTCAAAATTCTGTCGTATGGGAAGCATGCACCACATAGGAACTTACTAGGCAAAACAGTAACTACGGGCGTCACCAATGTCTTCCGAAAATGAAGAACATTCATTTTATTGTAAAACTCTTGGGAAAGAACCTGGACACCAAAGACCACGACCATAGCTCCAAGCTGGGCGTATCTCTTTATGACAGAGTGGCATCTAATACAAAAGCAGCACCTTCCCGCATTTACGTGCCTGAAACTCATCATATGCACATTAACGCATCAGCAAGAGTCAACGTACCTCTTGCACAAAGCGGCTTCCGTCCTGATCCAGGCTGAACTCGTAAAAGTGGCCCAGGATGTCTCGTAGTTCAAAGTTCCGGCCCGTCGTGTTGTTCTTGAGCTCATCAAGCAGGCGGTTACCACTCCTTCGGGGGCCTCGGCCGTTGCCGCCACCGGCGCGCCCGGCTGCCACGTTGCCGTCGCCAGCATGTGCCGCCACCACATCCCCAACAGCCCCAATACGATTGGCCCGTCGCCTCCTGTTGCGACGTCGCCTGCCGAGTCCCTGAGCCCCCTCCAGGTGCATCTCTTGAACATACACTGGATCAGCGCGTTCCACGCCGTTCGCAATGTTCGAACCGCCGGCACCGCTGTTGTTGCCCGCTGGCTGGGGGTTCTCGTCCTGCGGCGCCGAGCCAGGGCGGATGTGGCCGTTGGATCCCGATGCGCTAAGTCCCTCAGCGCGAGTCTGTGGAGGCGGCTGCGGCTCAGGCGGGCCCTGCACGGCGCCGCTGGCACTCACGTTGGCACTTCCAGAAGCGCGGTTTCCAAGGTTAAGGTCCTGCAGGTTGCGGATGGCTGTCCCTGCCGCCAGATCGCCAAGGCTAGGGTCCTGCAGCTCCGGCCGCTCAGAGTCGCTTCCTGTCGCCAAAGGACGGCCACTCGGAGCGGAGTGCGGCGCAGCAACGTTGTCCAGGCCGCTGTCTGTTGGAAGCGGTGGCGGATGCCCTCCAAGAAGCGGCAGTAGTGGGGGCGGCGCCGGCATCATCCTGTTCAGCATCATCGCAGCTTCCATAACTGCATCAGTATTATTTGGAGCAACGGCCCCCGCTATGGCTGCGGCTGCGGCCTGTGCCTGTAGCACATGCTGCTGGAGGTTGCCACCATCATCGCCATTGTTGAGAGCGACAGATGCATATGGCTGCATGGTTAGTTCCCCGCCTAACAGCTGCTGCAGCCGTTGCGCCCGAAGCCGTGCCAGCGCAGTAATGGCGGCGGGGTTGACGCCTCCAGCACCGGCACCAAGGATTGGAGCTGTGGCACCGGGAACGAGGCTTGGAAGAAGGGCGGCGGGGTTTGGTTGCAGAAACGGTTGCAGAGACGGCAGCATGGCTGTCGGCATGCCACCGGCGGCGAGCATCGTTGAGAAGTCGATGCCTGGCGCAGCTGGGAGGCCCTGGGCGCCGGCCGTAGCGGCCTGCATGCGCAGCAAAACGCAAGAACGCATCGCTTATTAGATGGCATTATTTCCCACGGCCTTCCCAGAGCACATGTTGAGGTAGTCCTGCCTAATACAAACTGCCTAACGAAGAAAACATGACATCGTGTGGCTGATTCACAACCTGCTTGCCCATAGGCGAGGGCCCATGCCAAAGCTTCAACCTCAACTGGCCTTGATGTTGTTAAGTGGGCGCTATCGAAAAGGAGATCCTTTCCACAAGATAGAATTAACGCATGTATGCGGGACTGACAAGGCAGAGCGAACACGCACCCACCTGAACGCGCGCGGTCCTGTCCGTCAGGTGCAGCTCTAAAAGACGCAGCAAGGCGTTTGTATCCATGATGGGGGCTTCCGAAACTGCCAGAAAGGCGGCCGAGGCCGTCGTGGAATTTGCCAAGTGTTCCTGTAACGCTCGCCGTTGGAGATTAAAGTTATTTATCGGTGAGTTGTCCAAAAATGAGTCAATAATATGTTAATCATGTTTCATGCCCAGAAATAATGTCAAATTGCTACATGGAGGAGCTCCATCGTTGCCACTGCAGTCGCGACCTCATACATATATATATGCTAGCGAAGGCCCACAACCAATGGGCGCTTTGCCCTTCAGGATCCATATTCAGTATCTAGACACCAGCCATTATGCATACCTGGCGCTTGTGAAGCAGATCCGGCACCTGCCCGCAAGCCGACGCGAGTCGGTCGACTTCGGTCGAGATCTTCGATGTCGGAGATGTCCAGAGGTAGATAAAGCTATTTACAGGCCGTCTCTCTACTCAAGAGGCTTTAATAAAAGCCTCTTTTGATGGGCTGCGCGGAATGAAGGCGTTTATATGTCACATGATGGGCCTTACCAATCAAGGGCCTTATCGCTTGACTTGAGAGGGGAACACAGGCGGTCAATCTGTTGGCTTTAGTTTGGACTCAGGAAAATGCGATATCCCGCAAGGCACTCTGCCGCTCCTGGCCTGCACATTAGGCATTCCACCAAGATGTCGTACAACGCGTCGTGCAGATTCTGCGTTTGCACCCGAGCCAGGCTCTGGCCTCGTGAGTTTGTCGGAAGCAAATAGTGGTTCTCTGGGCGCATACGGTTCGCGTGCTGCGCAAGATAGTGAAGCGTTCCGAGCTTTGCCTGCAGTTGCTCCTTGCTTCCATCCAGCCTCAGTCCAGGGGTAGTCCCACGGAAGAGACTTAGGTGTTGATGCTTTGCTAGATTTTGGACAGCTTGTGTGTCTTGGGAGAGATTTGGGCGCCCTCGGCCATCCAGCTGGATCGGAACGATCCCTAACTGCCAGACAGCAGAGGGATGGCCGCATAAACGTAACTTCAATAACTCTTACTCCTGACATGTTGAGGCTAGAGGGCGCGTAGCCTAAGGCGTCTGAACTGTTCAGCCGTCCCGGATACATACAGTAGGACGCCAACTGAATGGCTGTCACGACATCGCTTGAAAGGTTATTTATTTGGACATACATGAAACCGGTACTCTATCTTTATATTTCTGTCGGCGTCTGAGTTCGGGCTGTGACTTGTCAAGTATGGCAGACCGAAACGCCAGCGCGCCTATGGCTCCGATGAGCAGTTTAGTTTGACATGAAATCAATATTTTGTTATAATGATATCATTTTCGCTGGTGAACTTGCATCGAGTGGTTGTGTCGCTTCAAGGCGCTTCGCTTGGACAGGCTAGTGCAACGCTCGGGCACCATTTTTGCGTTATCGAGGAAAGTGCCATTGCAATTATATTACAGTATATCTTCGTTCAATTTCATTGTCCAACGCAGGCAGAGCATGTCTGGAGAGCTAAATAAGAGCCACCAGCCAGTTGTTCCACAAAGTCTTTTGAAAGGCGGATTTCCGTTTCAATTTGATCATTTAAACAATTGTATTTTCTGATGTTATAGTTTAACCTAGCTAAATCGCAGACTTTGCGGCGGTAAGGCTTTGAGAAGCAGCAACGGTGTGCAACACGCACACACGCGTACTATCGCATATGGCTCTAAGCCAACATTTGATACTGTAATCATCACGTTATATATGAATATTTTGCATTATATTTCTAGCGTTGTGCTCTCCTTGGCGGGAGTCCGTGTCCGGGCATGGATGTCGGCACGGCGGCAAGCCCTGGGCCATGGCCAGCCGGTTTACACCAGCTTTGGCGTTGGTTTGACAATTTGCTGCTTCATCGGTTCTTCGAGTGGGCTCGTGGGCAAACCACGCTGCTGTGTGCTAGCGTACTCTAATGCGTGTTATGTCAGAGTCATGAAGTTATGAATCGAGAGGGAACGCATGGCTATGGCGACACGTTGGGGCTGAAAGGCCTGACTGGACATTAGTGGACAGAGTACAGCCATGCATGCATTCATTCGGTGAAGATGCAGTTCCTTGCTGGACTTCCTGAACCATTACCGCGTGCGTGTCTGCAGAGAGCGACATAGCCACGGCAAACACGACTTCTGGGGAGATTCGTTTAGATGCTTTCAAGCGCGCAGGCTCCCAAGGGAAGGCGGCTGTGGTGCAACCCGCGCCCCGCAAGGGAAAGGATGTACAGATAGGTGTCGGTTGGAAGGGCACCATATCTGTTTTCGACTCCTACATGAAGTAGGAGTAGGATTAACAACTTGGCTCCGTCCGCTTCACGAGCTCCCCACCCACAGGCACACATGGACATACTGCTGCGCACGGGGCAACGTCGGCTCCTAGCTACTCCCGGGTGAGATTGCTGGACAGGTGAGCTCCCCCATCGTCATTATCTAGATACGAGCAGCCGAGCGGTCGAGCGGTCGACCTTCTTGGATCGGTGCCAGACCTCATGCAGCGCCGGACGGTGGCAGGGGTACTGCTCCGGAAGCGAATTACCACCATGCAGGTGGGCCCCCCTCGGTGAGTGGCTTTCGGGCACGGCTGTCCTGATGGAGCATATAGCGCGTCCGGACTAGGTTGGCGTGCTAGCTATACTTGCCGGGCCACCAGGCATAGCATGCGCTGAGGTGGTGGCATGAGGCAGCGTCGCCCCACCCAGCCGTGACAACGGGTAATACAGAAGCCTACCCCCGGACTATCTATCAAGCTCTTGTACTTCTTGCGGCTACAGCAGTACAGCGGCACTGCATGGCTACAGCCTTGGCTTCCCATTGTCTTCCCAGTGTAATGGCCTGTGGAGGTCGCAAGTGCGCGTCGCCATGGGCACCTTCACACAACGCGCGCTAGTCAATATATTTGTGTGTGTGTGTTACATGGTTGGGGGTGCGTGACCCCATACCTGTAAGACTACCCATACGAGCCGAAGTCAATATATGGCATCTGGCACATGCAGCATTCCTCAGCCCAGGAGCTTGGTTCCTGGCTGTATTAATTGAACACTGGCCATCAGTTGCCTGGGCCACGAAGACCAACCGGGACAGCGGCCGTTAATAGTTGCATAAATTGACTTTGAAAAGGCGTTTGACATGGTGCCGCGGGAGGTGATGTGGCTTCGTTATCAGGAGAGAGGGGTCGAAGGAGCCATGCTGCAGTCGCTGATGCGGGCGTACGACAAGGTTACAATGGTCTTCATGATGAATGGCACGACTGGGGTGAATTTTGAGTAAAAGCAGGATGTGAAACAAGGCTGTAAGCTGTCAATTGAGTTGTTTGGACTTTCGTTAAACTCTTGCGGACGCCAGCGATATGCATGAGGGTGTTCACACCAGGGCGCGGCCGGAGGATGCACCAAGGGTTGGCAATAAGCAGAGCGCGCTCTGGCTCATGGCCATACTACACGGCTGTACACTACGCATGTCGCTGGAGTTATGCACATTCTGCAAATTGGAATTTGTCACATTAGTGTGCGTGTGTGTTGCACATCGTTGCGGGAACCCGCACGTCTGGCGAGGATGTTGGAACGTATGTGGGCTCACCGAAACTCAATTACCCCCTTTGGACGCTAGTCTGGGCTGATGTGCGGTGTTTTTTTTTCCTTTTCTCCGTGGCTTTTAGGCGTTGTAGTATTGCCCTTGGGCCTTCGGCTCGTATGGGTAGTCTTACAGGTATGGGGTCACGCACCCCCAACCATGTAACACACACACACATCGTTGCTGCTGCTTCCAGTGCTTCCGGCGCAACCGCCGCAAATCCGGCAATTTAATTCGCTTAAACTACATAATACTCATAAACCTTTATTAAAATGATCAAGTTTATAACGGAAAGCTGGAACATCTGTTTGGCATGGAGCTGGGCTCTTAATTAGGTCTCCAGACATGCTCTGCCTGCGTTGGACAATGAAACTGAACGAAGATATAATGTAATATAATTGCAATGGCACTTTCCTCGAAAACGCAAAAATGGTGCCCGAGCGTTGCACCAGCCTGTCCAAGCGAAGCGCCTTGAAGCGACACAACCAATCGATGCAAGTTCACCATCGAAAATGATATCATTCTAACAAAATAATGATTTCATGTCAGATTAAACTGCTCATCGGAGCCATGGGCGCGCTGGCGTTTCGGTCTGCCATACTTGACAAGTCCCAGCCCGAACTCAGACGCCGACAGAAATATAAAGATAGAGTGACGGTTTCATGTATGCCAAATTACTAATCTTTCAAGCGATGTCGTGACAGCCATTCAGTTGGCGTCCTACTGTATGTATCCGGGACGGCTGAACAGTTCAGACGCCTTAGGCTACGCGCCCTCTAGCCCCAACATGTCAGGAGTAAGAGTTATTGAAGTTACGTTTATGCGGCCATCCCTCTGCTGTCTGGCAGTTAGGGATCGTTCCGATCCAGCTGGATGGCCGAGGGCGTCCAAATCTCTCCCAAGACACACAAGCTGTCCAAAATCTAGCAAAGCATCAGCCCCTAAGTCTCTTCCGTGGGACTAACCCTGGACTGAGGCGGGATGGAAGCAAGGAGCAACTGCAGGCAAAGCTCGGAACGCTTCGCTATCTTGCGCAGCACGCGAACCATTTGCGCCCAGAGAACACTATTTGCTTCCGACAAACTCACGAGGCCAGAGCGTAGCTCGGGGACCAAAGGCAAACGCAGAATCTGCACGACGCTGTTGTACGACATCTTGGTGGAATGCCTAATGTGCAGGCCAGGAGCGGTAGAGTGCCTTGTGGGATATCGCATTTTCCTGAGTCCAAACTAAAGCCAACAGATTGACCGCCTGTGTTCCCCTTTCAAGTCAAGCGATAAGGCCCTTGATTGGTAAGGCCCATCATGTGACATATAAACGCCTTCATTCCGCGCAACTCTTCAAAAGAGGCTATTATTAAAGCCTTTTGAGTAGAGAAACAGCTTGTAAATAGCTTTATCTACCTCTGGACATCTCCGACATCGAAGATCTGATTTGCGTTGCGACGACCGACTCGCGTCGGCTTGCGGGTAAGTGCCGGATCTGCTTCACGAGCGCCAGGTATGAATAATGGCTGGTGTCTAGATACTGAATATGGATCCTGAAGGGCAAAGCGCCCAATGGTTGTCGGCCTTCGCTAGCATATATATATGTATGAGGTCGCGACTGCAGTGGCGACGATGGACCTCCTCCATGTAGCAATTGGACATTAATTCTAGGTATGAAACATGATTAACATATTATTAATGCATTTTTGGACAACTCACCGATTCTCCCACTTTAATCTCCAACGGCGAGCGTTACAGGAACACTTGGCAAGTTCCACGACGACCTCGGTGGCCTGCCTGGCAGTTTCAGAAGCCCCCATCATGGATACAGACACCGTGCTTCGTATTCTGGAGATGCACGTGCTTGGCAGGATCGCTCGCGGTCAGGTGGGTGCGTGTTTGCTCTGCCTTGTCAGTCCCTCATACATACAGGCCTGACTTCTGCTCCCAGTCGACCCAGTCGACCCGGGTTCAAATCCGCCTGCCGGCTCCTCGGGTGTTTGAGGAGTGATGAAATGGGAGGTGGCCCCCCATCTTATGGACGGTGTAGGACGTGATAATATCAACTTGCGAGCTGACCAGGAACTAAGTTGATGCGCCGTTGATCCGCTAGATTTGGTTGGATGCTGGTGGTGAGTTGCCGAACCCAACGAATACATTCTGAAGTCGGATGGGGTGACGGATTAGGGTGCCCCTCTAGCAGGGGAGAGCAGGGACTGCCCCGGGAAAGGGGGCCGCTGGCGAAGTTAACCACCCTGTAACAACATACATACTTCCCTCGTACATTCATACGTCGATCCTACATTGTCATTCAGCTATACGATGCATGGCATGCAGGACAACCTTCATAAGCGCATTGAACCCCGAATCTTCGCGAGCGCTTTGTGACATTTCCATATCCTTAAAGATAACTGCGTGCTGTTTAGGGACACCTTGCTGGCGGCCAAGGACGAGGTCGACGACGATCGAACTCGCGAGCTTATCAGCGCGAACTTCGGAAGTCTATTATGGACACACAACTCTTGATGCTTATTCGGGACCTGCAAATGGCTAACATGGCGACCAGAGCTACCACGACCGGTCGCGGTCGGGTGAGTTGTGCGCGGTTCGGTCTCCCTTTTCCGACGGTCATACATACGTTCCTCAACCATTCACACGATGGCATATTTTCTTCGTTAGGCATACTTGTGTTTGTAATAAGGCAGGACTACCTACTTTAAAGCGTTGACATGGTGCTCTGGGAAGGCCGTGGGAAATAATGCCATCTAATAAGCGATGCGTCCTTGTGTTTTGCTGCGCATGCAGGCCGCTACGGCCGGCGCCCAGGGCATCCCAGCTGCGCCAGGCATCGACTTCTCAACGATGCTCGCCGCCGGTGGCATGCCGGCCGCCATGCTGCCGTCTCTGCAGCCGTCTCTGCAACCAAACCCCGCCGCCGTTCTTCCAAGCCTTGTTCCCGGTGCCACAGCTCCAATCCTTGGTGCCGGTGCCACAGCTCCAATCCTTGGTGCCGGTGCCACAGCTCCAATCCTTGGTGCCGGTGCTGGAGGCGTTAACCCCGCCGTCGTTACTGCGCTGGCACGGCTTGGGTTGCAACGGCTTCAGCAACTGATAAGCGAGGGACTACCCACGCAACCACCTGCAGCTGCTACGCACAACGATGGCGATGATGGTAGCAAGGCGGAGGCCGCTGCGGCAGCCAAAGTGGGCGATGGCGTCCCAGTGCCGGAACCTGAAGCGGCTGCCGAAGCAGCTGCACTACAGCTTGAGAACATGATGCCGACTCTGCTCTCGCTGCTGCCGCCCCTGGGCCAACCCCTTTCCCCGCCTCCAACGGACAGCGGCCTGGACAACGTTGCTGCGCCGCACTCCGCTCCGGGTGGCCGTCCTTTGGCGACAGGAAGCGACTCTGAGCGGCCGGAGCTGCCGAACCCTAGCCTTGGCGATCTGGCGGCAGGTACAGCCATCCGCAACCTGCAGGACCTTAACCTTGGAAACCGCGGTTCTGGAAGTGTCAACGTGAGTGCCAGCGGCGCTGTGCAGGGCCCGCCTGAGCCGCAGCCGCCTCCACAGGCTCGCGCTGAGGGACTTAGCGCATCGGGATCCAACGGCCACATCCGCCCTGGCTCGGCGCCGCAGGACGAGAACCTCCAGCCAGCGGACAACAACAGCGGTGGTACCAGCGCAGGCGGAGCCACGCTGGGGGCGGAAGCCCCAGAACCCCGCGGGCAGACTTAGGATATGGGAGGAGCGGCGTCTGACATGCATGGCTGTGGTACGTCATGCACGTATGAAATGCCGGCAGTGCCGGGCGAAAAATGTCGCCAACCGCCTTTGGAGTCAAGGTTTAATTTGCTAGGTTTCCTTACGTTATGGTCGTGCCATTTGTTGTATGTGGTGTGTTTAATGAAGCGGTGGTGCGCGTGATGATCTAATGTACTGCTTTCCTAATGCGCGAGGCTGGTGCAGCTGTGGGCTGCTCCGAAATGTTGCACGCGAAGCCTTTTAGACGTCCTGGACAGTGAGGTAATCACGCATTGTAGCAGGAAACTGCACTGGGATTGTTAGGCGTTTCTCACGTCTTGTCGCGATTGATTTAGGTGAAACAGGACGAGTCCATATCACGATCAGTATGTAGAGATTGCATTCCTTGCAGACAGGCAACAACAAGGAGGGGGGAGAGGTGCCGCAGGGCGCGGAGGAAGGGGGGAGAGGTGCCGGAGGGCGCGGAGGAAGGGGGGAGAGGTGCCGGAGGGCGCGGAGGAAGGGGGGAGAGGTGCCGGAGGGCGCGGAGGAAGGGGGGAGAGGTGCCGGAGGGCGCGGAGGAAGGGGGGAGAGGTGCCGGAGGGCGCGGAGGAAGGGGGGAGAGGTGCCGGAGGGCGCGGAGGAAGGGGGGAGAGGTGCCGGAGGGCGCGGAGGAAGGGGGGAAGGAAAAAGGGCGAGGAGAACTCGCAGGAAATGGGGGGAAGGTGGACCTGGAGGCCGAAGAGCAGCATGGAGCCGAGCCGTTAGTTTGACGGCAGGGGGTTGTCGAGAGGTGAACAAGATTAAGTAGAGAGAGAGAGGTGAACAACCCTAAGTCGAGAGAGAAGGCACAGGACGAGCCGAATGGGAAAGCAACGATGAAGGTAAAGGTGTCGGCGGCAATTAAGTCAAAGAATCTAAGGACAGGTGATTTATATTATTTAAGAGGGAAAAGGTGGCGATATCGGCGACGCGCACTCAATTGTAACCTCGGAAATTGTAACGTGCAAGCAACATGCCTCAGCGGCAACCCGCCGTCAAAATTTGTTTGGCTCGTGCTCGCGACAGAAAGCGCACTCCATAAGTTAAGCCAGGCACGCGAAAAAATTCGGTAGCCAGCAAGGTGGACTTGGGGCAACAAGCTTTTCCGTACCTAGGGTTAGTGTCACTTACCTGACAGCCAAGTATGCACACGGAGATCCTGTGCTCGCACAAGGGAGGGCTGACACCCATAGGGCGGGCCTAGAACATCGACACCCCGGACCGCAGGAGCATAGAGCGCCTAGGTCTTTAGGCGACATGGTCATAACGGGGTGGGAATGGCGCCAGTACGGCGGGCGAACAAGCTGAGCAAACGAGAGGAGGTCATACACTGTGCGTCGGGTCTCACTTCTCGTCAAGTCTTACGGAATTGGAATGCGTGCATGTGTGGCTGACTGACTGGAGGAGCCTCGTGCCCCAACTTCTGTCGTGTGCGGTGTGGATTGGAAGGGTATGGGGAGGCTTATCACCGGTGGCGCTTGACACGAATTACTGCGGGACATTCACGTCTCACTAGGCCCTCACGGGGCTGGAGGCAACGCTTATGGTTATCCCCTCGATGACACCCAGTACGCGACTAGAGCTAACCGCAAACGGATAACGGCTAACCGCTAACGGAGAACGGCTAACACTCACGAGACGACGACGTGACTGGCTTCCTTTAGGCTCAACTGGTTTGGCGGCTCCCCAATAATATGCCAATGTGCCCCCGAGGGGTTTTGTCGGTTTTGTATGTGTGCGGCTTTTTATTGGCGCAGCTATTACAGGACGTGTATGCGCCAGGAATGCAGGGTTCGTCGGGTTGAGTCGGCCCTCGCGTACGGCACCGGAACTCGTGGAGGCCTCCCGTATACCCCTCTGCGTATCCGGCGCAGCTGCGGATGGGGGAGTTCAGGAGTTCAAGAATCACCCACGTGTGCGCATCTCGTTGTATTGACTGACATGTTCCATGTACAGTGCACAAACAAACAGTGGTAAACAACTTGGGTAATTGTGTGCATCCATAATATATACACGTAAGATACCTTGCGATAAGACGGACATGCTAAGACGCAACATAGTGCTCCTAGTTCAACCTCCACGCTATGGGGGAATGATATCCCCCCCCGTTGATGGAGGATGGATGAACCCTTCGATATAAGGTAATGGATCGACCCATTGATGCCACCAGACATCCTGCGGGTGGTGGTGATGGTGATGGTGGTGGTGAGTTATGGACCCCACAAAGTTATCGTTTTCATAAAGGTGAAAAGGGTGAGAGCGCCTTGGAGCAGTGGAATAGCCGCGGATTGCTAGGCTATTTGCAATTCCCCCACCCCACGCAATTTTACATGCATTTCGTTTATGTTGCTGGGCTTTGGAGGCAAACAGAGCACCATAGGGACAAGCACCATGTCCCCAGGGGGCAGCGGTTTTGCCGCTGTTGTGGCACCAATAGCCAAGTCGAGGATGAAAAACACGCGGTATTGGAATGCCCAGCCTATAATGATATGCGTGTGGAAGGGGAATTCAATCACCAACAGAGCATGTTGGAGGCCATGAAATGGGAGCCAGCACGTCTGGCGAAGATGCTGGAGCATATCTGGGCTCACCGCAACTCAGTTATCGCGTTTGGGCGCTAGTCTGGGCTGATAGTGCGATGTTTCCTTTTTCTCCGTGGCTTTAAGGCCTTTAAGTATTGCTCTTGGGCCTTCGGCTAATAGTGTGTAGTTCTACAGGTATGGGGTCACGCACCCTCAACCACGTAACACACACACACACACACACACACACACACACACACATGTGCTGCACATGTACAGAAGCAGTGTCACGCGTATGCCCGCAGAAGCAGAGGGTTCAGAAGCTTTTAGGTGAGATGAAAAGAATATCCTTGTGGATGGGGTCACACACGTGACAGTCGCATATTATTAAGAAGCATCACATTCATGCACGCGGAAGCCCCTGTTGATACCCCAAACCCATCTGTACCCCCACCCAGCCGCGGCTGCAACTCCCAGAAGCTCCATAAGAAACAAGAGATAGGATAACTGCAGGCTGTTCACTTTAGTAAGTCTCAGGGCATTTTTTCGCCGGAGCTGGTAGATGTCGCCGTGCCGCCAAGGGTGTCGCCCATCTTGAATGACAGTCACCGTTATTGTGTGGATGCTACATAATGGTATTCCAGACAAATGGGTATATCATTCGATATGGTAAGTTGTATGACGTAAGGGCCAGGCATAAAGGGCAGACCTTAACTTAAGTCAGTTTCCAAAGCCGTACACAATCCCGGTTTATTTCCTCTCTCTATCTACCCAGCCTAAACATCTGCATAATACATATCATGCGCCCGTATAATTGAGGTGAATTCAGAAACTCAACTTCATTGGCATCTTGAAGGGCTTCTCGAGAGGCAAACGGAATATAAGAAGTATGGAGGCACAACCCGCCCTGCCCTTTCAGTCTAAGGCTCATGATGCCTTACGCCTTGGCCTCGTGTCGCTGAAGGAGGACGCTACCGTGCGGCATCCGGTTGAGGTGATCCAAAGTGAGCACCGGCAGCGGACGCTGGCTTCGCAGCATCAAATGCTTCGTGATCTCTATGGTATAGCGGCGCCTGCAAGAGCTCAGATCGAGGCCCAAATCTTGAGCAAGTTCACTCGGCTACCTGGCGCCGGTACCTCATCCCTGCTGGGCCTGGAGTCTCTTACCGGCGAACTGGACGAGTTCAAGTACGAATCCTACCTTGCCCTTCCGGAGGTCTCGACGCTGCCCCCTGTGGACCTACATTCGCAGATGGAGCTGAAATGCGGGTTGCCAGGGTCGAAACACGACCGGATGGCGCGAGGGTTGCTCTGAGCGTAAGCTACTTAGGCCAGGCTGCCGGTAGTTGTAGACGATAAGTGTTTACCCAGGGCTCGTAGGCTGTGCAGATATCGGGGGGAGCTAGTAGTAGCTTAAGGGTTATGGGGGTTAAAGGAGTTGTGGGGAGAGGGAGGCTGGTCGACTCGACTTCAAGCAGTGACGAATCGCAGGGAATGCCGGTCGCGCACGCTGGCCTGCCTGGGAAGCCTGGTGAGGCGACGCTGCCCGAAAGGACTGTGTCTATGCGCGCTTGCGTAGATAGCATCGCCGAACGAGGACAACAGTCTCTCATTCACGCACGCCTACAAAGGACCTGGTTGCAGATGCCACGTCCTTGGTAGGTCCTTATTCTCCCGTCGCCATTAATGCCTAGTCGCATGGAAAGGCGATGCTCCCCCTCACATCTTAGCGGTGAGGGGTTCATACCTTGCCGTGAAAGCGACGTGTGCATTAAACAAATGCTGATGAGGGCTCTGTACGTGCTATGAGGCATCTGGCGCCTGGAAATGATTGCGACAGTAAGGTTTGTTTTGTTCTGGGATTACCTGATGACGGGATCGGGATCATCGGAACCTTCGACCGTGTGAATTCTCTTCACGTGTTGTAACAGTACCCCTCTTATTACGCACCTGCCCAAGGCATATAACCTTTAACTGTTAAATGATATGCTCGCTATCTGTCACATGAATGGCCCACCGTACGTACGCGAGGACATGCTGTAGGATTGTGGCTGCTGCTGACTCACATAATGCAGTACTAGGCGTACGGCACCTGTTTTTAAACCGCAATTATTTCAGGATATGGATGGGTTCTCGGTCTGCCATTCGTCTGTTTCTTCTCTTCTTCATCTTCCAAACGCCCACATGGACGTGGCAAAGACTGCAAGGAGGAGCCGTACGCACAGGGCCTCCAAAGAGAATATATAGGCCGATTTTCACTTGTCCAAGCGGCCTACGTGGAGTGCAGTACTTTCCCCTTGGTTCACTTATGAGTGCCATGTGCATGGATTAACAACTAACCATCTGCAAAAGCTACTGAATGAACACGCCGTCTCATGTCGCGTTGTACAAAATCCGTACATGTCGTACAATACATGCGCATACACGGGCGTGCAGCAACTTGCGTCGGCATTGACCTCAATCACCAACTCACATCGCGTCGTCATACGTCGTACCATATACATATGTCCGCACGCGTGTGCAATAGCCTCAAAAGGACGCACTGCCTCCTCAACATCGGCTTTTGCATCCCCACGGGAACAACGAGTCCTAGTGCTTCAATGGACGAACCCATCTGGGGGAAGTTCTGTGCGGTGACGTCACCCGACATAGCAAGCAGGAACACGCACACACATACACAGCGACACTCTCCTTGTCCACATCTACGAGCTTCATGATTCCAGCAACGGATACATTTTTATGGACATTTGGAAAATCCTGTCAAGTCGCTGGATTAGGGAGCTTGCAGCGGTGAAGATATTTCTCGTGTACGCACCACCTCGCCAAGCCCTTCTCACCATGTACTTCGTATTATAGACGTACGAAAGACCCAGTCACAGCCCCCTATGCCACTCGACTGCATCCTCTGGTCCGCCGTACGTAAACGCATACACGGGCACTAAAACACTCCCCTCAGCCACCATCGCGCGTGTGGTAAACTAATGTCTCACTGTCAACGCACACAAGCGCACACAAATACATGCACACCTACGTACATACAAACATACATACGCACATACATACATACGCACACATATACATACGCACAAACGCCCTTTTCAGACCCGTAGCAGGTTCAGCAGCATATTCACCGCCGCCTCGTTCACAGCCGTCGTGCCACAAGTGGCGTAACCCCCTCCCACCCCCGTCCCCTTCACTGCCGCTGGCCCAGCCGCCCCCGGCTCTGCACCCCCACCCGCCATCCCAACACCACGAACAACCCTCTCCCCACGCCCGGCAACCTCCGCTGCATCCCCTTCCGTGTCTTCATCATCACCCACCAGCCACACCTCCGCGTCGTCCTCGTCCTCATCTCCACCCAACATCACAGGCAGGTGTGCGTCCCTCCGCAGCCCCAAGTCATCTAAAGCCGACTCCGGCAGGTACGGCTCGCACAGGAAGCAATTCACGGCGTAGATCTTGAAATGCACAGTGTTAAGTCCAGGAAGCGCAGTGGGAGACGGCAGCGGCGGCGCCGCCGCCGCTGCCGCGGCGACGGTGGTCGACGGTCCCAGTGGCCCGTCACCTTCCGGCTCGGGTTTAATCATCGGCCTGGAACCAGCGGTTCTAGCGGCAGCGGCGGTGACGTCGGCCAAGGCGGCGGTCTCAGCCGTAGATGCTGGCAGCCGGGGGCCCGTCGCGGAAACCGTAACGGTGGTGGGGACTTGGCCCGCGGCCTCGGCTGCAGCAGCTGCTGGCGGCGGCGGTAGGGGGCCGGCGGCGCCGCCGCCAAGGCCAGGCTGCTGCGATTGCTGACGTTGTATCGTATCGGTTTCGCTCGTGTTGCATAGAGGCACAGCTGCCGTTGCCGCGGCGGCGGAGCCGCCTAGCGCCGATGCACCCGTTGCCTCCGCCGCTGCCTCCTCCGGCTCCTCCTCTTCTGCCACCATGAGCATGTGGAGCATTCGTTGCAGTTGTCGCCTGGCGTCTCGGTGGCTAAGGTTGAGGGTGAGGTTGAGGGTGTGTGGGTTCAGCTTCGTTAACGCCAGAGCCGGAGTCGCAGCGTCGGAGGCGATGGCTGTGGCTGCTGCTGATGCGGCCACCTCCAGCCCTGTTGCTGCACCGCCAGGTGCCGTAGTCGCCGCACCCGCCGCAGCTTCTGACGTCAGCGGTGCTGTTACAGATGCTGTTCCTGGTGCTGCTGTTGTGGTGACAGCCTCAGGTACCTGCGATATCTGCGGCGGCACAGATTGGGGGGTGGCGCGTGCCGTACCGCTTCGCACGCCCACTGGCCCTGGTTGCGCTGCTGCTGCTGCTACTGCCGATGCCGATGCTGCTGCCACCGTGGCTGTTGCTGCCGCTGCCCCCCATCCCGGTATCGCCACATCTGCCAGAGTCGCAGTAGCGACCCCAGCCGCTGGTGCTACTGCCGCCAGTGGTACGGCAGCAGCAGCTGCAGCTGCCGCCGGCGCCGCAGCCTCGGCGACGGCTTGCAGCTGCGCGGCAGACCGCAAGTGCGGCGGCAGATGGCCCCCTTGCGCTGAGGGCTGCTGCGGCTGCGGCTGTCGCTGTACGGCAACGGCCACAGGCGTTGGAGTCTCGCGCTCCAGCCCCGGGGGAACCCGAAGGCCTGCGGCGGCGGACTGTCCACTCGTCCCGCCAAGCGGCGCCGACCGCGCCAGGGAGGACTGCGACGTGGGGGGTTGCGGTTGTTGTAGCTGCGCGCGCTGCGGCGCCCTGTCCTCTTCATGCCCTGGTCCAAGACCCGGCGGCAAGCCGTCGTGCATGGGCGGCAGCACGTCGATCGGTAACAGAGGAGGAGTTGGATTCGGAGTCGGAGTCGGATTAGCTAGCGGCAGCTTAGCGGTGTCGGCTGTGGCTGCAGCCTTCGTTGCCTTGTTGCGCTCCTTCTCCCGTTCCTGGACCTGCCCGCCGTGTTCCCCTCTGCGGTCGTCTTGCTGGTCGCGACCCCACCCATTAGGGAGTTGAGGGGGTTCCGGGGGCCGGGGGCGAGTGTGTCCGGGGTCAATAAGTTGAACCCCGCAGTCATAGCCATGCCAATGCAGCGGCGGCGGCGGCAGCGGCGGCGGCCGTAGATCATTACCCCGGCCGCGATGATGATTATGATGGTAATGCAATAGGGGTCGGTGTTGCTGGTGGTGAGGTGCCGAGAAGTGGGCGCCGGACTTCCCGAGTTGGTTCTCCAGAGGCGGCAGCGGCAGCGGCAGCGGCAGCGCAGCCGCCTGTGGCGGAGGTGGAGCCACACGGTCCTGTTCCGTCTGCTCATACATGTACAGACTATCACCGCCGCCGCCGCCATCGCCATAGTAGTAATCGCTTTCCTCGCCTTTTGGTCCATCGCCAATACAGTTGTTGTTATTGGCAGCGTCGGCGGCGGCGGCAGGCCCCTGACGGGGCACCTGCACTGCCGTATTATCGCTGCCGCCGTCAGCACCTCTCCTGGAGTAAAGCCGGTGACGTGCCTGCGATATGGGCGCGTAGCCGGTGGCGGGCTGTCGAAACGGCGGCGGCATTAGTGTCGCCGATCCTGACGGAAGCTGTTTGCCGGCCCCGCCGCCAGCGTCGGCTTCGCCGCCGTCGCCGTCCTGGCCTGTAGGAGCGCCGTCGGGGCCGCTCGGTTTCAGGAAGGGTGTACGGCGCCTGCCTTGGGTTTGGGATGGTACAGCAGGCAGCGTGTCGTACAGTGGCGTGTCGACGACGAAGGGGACTTGGGGCATGGGTTTGTTGTCCCGGATGCTCTCCATAACGGCCAGCTGCGGTGGGGAAGAAAAGGGAGAGAGGAATACACACACATACACACACAGCCGCCGCAGGAGTATGTGGTATGGATGGGGATGTGCGTGTCGGTGGGGATGGGGTGGCGCCGCACGTCGACCCCGCGAGGGGGAGGGGCGGGGAAACCGCAACAACACGCAGCAAAGGGTCCATTGCTGACGTTACGAAGAAGAAAAAAGGGGGGGAAGACATCATATGTAAGTAGGATTTGGCGGGAAAGACAAACCACGAAAACGATTGAAGCTGCTGCCACGGAAAGAGTGTACCAGAAGTAGAACTGACCAAAAGGCGTCCTTGAAGGATTTGGGGGGGGGGAGAAAAGAGGTAGCTGCCGCTGGAAAGTAGGCCCCAGAGTAGGCCCCTGAATGTGCGTACGTAGTTTTAAGAGGGCCGTCGCCAATACCCCCATGGACATGTCCATGGGCATCAGTAACACAAATTTTCAACTTCATAGGTTGAATTCCTCTCTTCAAATTTAGATTTTTGATGCAATTTTCTTTTTAATGACTACAGTTAAAAAACACCCCGTGGACTCAAAGCGCGGCTGCACCCTCGCCCCCCCCCCTTTGAGACCCCGGTGAGACAGGTCACCCGGTGAGACCGGTGTCACCCGGTGTGCGCTGGGGGCAGCAAGAGGGCCGGGAGGAGGGGGGAAAGACGAACCACACACGATTGAAGCTGATGCCAGGGGGGGGTCAGCAAATAGCCGCGGTGCAGCTGTGTGCGCGCCTCTCCCTCTCTCACACACACGACACACAGAACCGCCGCCGCAAGCCCCCGCCCCCTCTGAAGTCTTCTTTCCCCCGGGGGGCCCCCCGCCCGGCCAGCCCACCAGTTGCGCATGTTCCTGCAGTACACCCCGTACGGTGGTGGCGTCTCCTGTGAGGCCGTTGGTGACCGTTACCGTCTCCGCCAGCATGCCCCTGTACGACAACAAACAGACGCGCCGCAGGGAGGCGAGGAAAGAAAGGGGGGAAGTGCGTGTGTGTATGTGCTTTTATGATCTGAGCCGCCCGCGATGAAGGGAACTGCCGACGGTGGTTCACGAATAATTTGTGTGCCCCCGGGGTTCCCGCCAGCAATCCAACACGCGCCATTGAGAAAGCACCCGGGAGTGCCGCCCCAGGGGTCTCCGAGGCGTCTCGACGTGGTAGATATACAGTACATACATACAGTACATACATACATACATATATACATACAAGTTTCGGGTTCAGGACTGCCGGGGGGAACCCATATGCAAGAACTTCATTAAATCCAGGATTGGGGGGGGGAGGAATAAGGCGTCCGTAAAAGCCGGGGGGGAGGGAGGGGGGCCCATGGGCGGTAGAGATAGCAGTAAAGGGTAATATACTGGTCAGGGCAGTGCCGTACCAGGAAACAAGGTGCTTTGCCGCCGCATGCCTCCACCCCTTCGAACAAGAATGCAACGAACAACAACGAACAACAACCTAACCACCGAGCTCAACCGGCACCAACCACCCAACTGCTGACCTGTCCACCTCGTCACGCAGTTGCAGTACACACGCCGCATCCACCAGTCGGTTCCCCCCTGACCGGTACTGGTAGCAGTCCTCCAGTACGGCAGCCAGCTGCTCCCGCATCGCCTCCTGCCGCCCGGGGGCTAGCTGCGGTGGGGCGGGAGGGAGCCGCAGGTGCGGGGTGAGGAGGAGGGGGGGAGCAGGGGTGAGGGGAGGAGGAGGGGGGACTTATATACATACATACATACACGCATACATACAGGTTTTTTTGTTGGCTTGTTAGGTGTATCAGGAGCCCTCCCCTGCCTGGGCTGCCCTAACCGTCTTTTTATTTTTTTTGTTCTTTCCCTTGGGATCCCTTTGTCGTTGGTTGTGTTGTGGGGGTTGTTTCAGAGAGCCTTTGACTTTGCCCTAGCTGAGACTTGTGGACTCGCTCTAGCGGGCCCTGAGAGCCCTTCGTGGTGTTTTCACTGCAGCGCCATCCCCGGATGGAGGGGCAGCGGAATGGCTGCGTAGAGTGTTAGCAGTCTGAGTCGGGGTCGGGAGCACACAAGACTAACCGACTTGGGCTGTGTGCTCCCGACCCTTGCGCTGTGTTTCGGCTTCGGCCCCCGGCTCTCGCGCCCACAGTGTAATATAAGTCATACATACATACATACATACATACATACATACATACATTCATACATACATACATACATACATTCATACATACATACATACACACATGTAATGCTGATTCCAGCGCAGTGGCCAGACGCTTACGTTGTTCCAGGCATCCAACAATCCGCCCGGTTTGCCTGGCGGCTGCGGCTGCGGCGACTGCGGTGCCGCTGTCCCTCGACCAGCTCGCGCAATGCTGCGTCCCAACATACCGGCTGCGGGGCCCCGGGGGGGGGAGGGGGGAGGGGGGTGTTTAGGGCGGGGGAAGGCGCGCTCGAGGGTAAACAGGGGTGCTACTCGTCCATCCACCACCCGTTCACCAAGGTCACATGGGTTTGCGGGGCGAACGGGGTTTCACCACCCTCAAACCCCACATGGCCGTGGTGGACCGGTGGTGAATGGGTGGGTAAGGGCGAGGGCGAGGGCGGGGTGTAGTGGAATCAGCAGGGCAACACGCTGCTGCGTTCGGAGCCATGGAACTAGCAATGAAAGATGGATGGAGGAGGGAGGAGGTGATGGCCACGCTTGTTGTGGAGAAAGTGGGCGATGATGACGATGATGGCGATGATGACGGTGAATGCAAGCGAGGTCTTGTGCGAAGGAGAGCGCGTGTGTTTGGGGGGTGGAAAGGAGGGGGGATAATATGGAAAGGAGGACACAGAACACCGAATCCACTGGCGGAGCCCGGTATGCTGGGCATGGGGGTTGTCCCGGGAACGGGTCGCGGGGGCATTCACATCCTCTTTCCAATGCGGCCTGCTCGGTGTATGAGGGCGTCCTGTCTAATATGATTTCCGCCGCTTTGTGAGTTTTCAAACTCACAAATATTGGGCAAGGGGATGGCCTGACGGGCTCTGCGAGCTGCTGCCGCCGCGCTACTCGCCACCGTCACTTCGGCCGCCGCTGGTGCCGCCGCCAGCGCCGTTGTTAGCGGTTCAGCCATCGTACACCCCGCCACATTGCCTTCATGGGCCGAGGGCCCAATCGATAGAGACCGTCGGAACGCGGCATCGCCGCCGCCGCCGTCGCCGCCACTGAGAGGAAGTGACGGCAACAGTGCCTGCGTCGGTTTGCCGTTCTGCACGTCAAAATGTCCCGCAGCTGCAGCTGCCGCTGCACCTTTGTCTGAAGTACCTGTCGCGCCCCTGCAGCTGCAGCCCGGGGGAGCTGTAGCATCTGCTGCCGCGGCAGCTCGTTCGGAGGCGAGTAGCCTGATAGGTGAAGGCAGATGATTGACTGCCGCTGCTGCCGGCTGCGCCGCCGCGCCGCCGCGCGGCGCCTGCCGTACCCTATCTTTGTACCTTTCCCGCTCGGTATCCCCCTGCGCAGCAGCCCCATTCCCATCGGCGGCGGCAGCGGCACGGTGTGGGCCCTGTGTCGTACATCGGCCGCCGCCGGAGCCTGAAGCAGCCGCCGGTGGCGGCGGCGCCGCTGCCCTTTCCCGCGCCACTTCAGGGACAGCAGCGTCCGTCACCTCGCCGCCGCCGCCGCCACCTCGAACGGCTCCGTTGCCTGTTTCCCGCTGCTTTTTTTGCTGCAGCGGCTTCGACAGCAACTCAGCCCGCTCCGCACCCCGTGCAGAACCTCCATTGCCCATGACGGTGCCAACCATGGACTTAACACCTGGCTTGACAGCGCCGGCAACGTGGTTTGTGGCGGCGGCGTTTGGCCGTTGCACCGCCGCCATCGGTGCTGCCGCATCGTCATCGGGCTCCGTCACCACCTTACGTCGCTTACTCGCGACTGTTTTGTCGTCCTGTGTTTTGACTTTCTTGTCCGCCGGCTGTGTCCGCGCCGCCGCCGGCTGACCCATGGGACGGTTGGCCTTGGCGGCGGCTGCCGGATCCTTCTTAGCGGAGAAAGGAGACTTTTGTGACGGCGGCGTCTGCAGTCGCGCGGCTGCCTGGCCCAGCTTCGCAACGGCCTCCGGTTGCTGCCTCGACTGATTACACTGCTGCAGCAGCTGTTGCTGCTGCTGCTGCTGCTGTTTCCCTCGCTTTCCTTGCTGCGGGTGATTTTCTTGTTGCCGCGCCGGTCGCGGCGGCGTCACTTGCTGCGGCTCCTCCCGCCGCTGCCGCTTTGCCGCCCTCCGTACCACTTCCCCCGTTGCCGCCCCCGCCGCCGCCGCCGCCGCCGCAACCGGCAGCTTCGCGGGTGACACCAACCCCTCCCCCTCCTCCTCCCCCCCTTCCTCCCCCTGTCCCCTGAAGCACCTCTGACGCTCTCGAGGCTGCGTGGCCCCGGCTACCCCGGCACATGATGTTACCACCATTGGCATCTCCAAATGCAACATTTCCCTCCCCGCCTCCTCCTCCGCCGCCGCCTCCTCCCCCCCATCACCACCATCGCGGCTTCCCCTCCACATCGCCCCCTGCTGAACGTCGTCCATCATGTTCTCGAAAGCTGTCATCCCCCCCTCCGCTATCTCCGAATCGCTTCGAAGTGAGAATGGGTCCTCCAGTAGCTCAGTCACCAGCAGCTCTTCAAAGGGGCTCGGACTCCGCAGTCGTACCCCCGCCAGTTGTCGTCGTCGTGGCGGCGGCGGCGGCGGTCCAGCCGCCAGGGCCGCCACCCTCCCTTCCTCGTCCGATTCCTCCGGAGGCAACAGGAAAGTCTGCTCTCCAGCGTGAGGCTCCTGATGGGCTTCTAAGAACCCACAGCTGCCGTACGCAGCCGGCGCCGCGCGGCTGTCGCTGGCGGCAGCGGCGGTGAGGCGTGGCGGCGGCGGCGGCGGCGGCGCCGCTGCTGCGGAAGCCTCGTCTTCGCCACCTGCCCCCGCGCCGTTTGCACCGCCACTGGCGGTGGCGGTAGCGGCAACGCTGCCGGCTGCTGTGCTGTCCTTTAGTAAGGCCCCTAAGGACCCCGGTTTGGAGCGCTTCGCTGGTATGACTTCACGGCTACGGATCTTCACCTTGCCCGCGCCCTTACCCACGCCCTGCACTACTGGTCGAGAGCCGCCGGCGGTACCGGCGACGGCGGCGGCGCCAGCCGTCGCTGCTACTGCTGGCGGCGGCGCCACAACGCCGTCAGCTCCTGCGCCTTGAGTCGCCGTCGGACGGCCAATTGCGCGGCAGACGCGGCCCCCTGGGTGGCTGTAGCCGGAGCCCAGCAGCACATGCCCCAGCCAGCGCCAGCCCATCTGGTGGTGGTGGACCTGGGGCCCAGCCGCCATGCAGCCGGCAGACGAAGGCGTGTGTCAGTATATATACGCATGTATGTGTGAGTGCACCACACACTCGTGCAAGGACCGATTCTGCCTTCGTTACGCTGAAGAAAATAACAGGTAGGGTGCTTATGTAGGTGTATGTATGTGCACGGGCAGATAGCTTGTAATGTTGAGTTTTGCGGCGAGGCTGAGTGCGGCGATGCGAGGCCGTCTAGCGGGTTCCAATCGCAGGGACCTCAGCGATGGCTTGGTACTCATCATGTGCGTCATGATCGCAGCTATTGACAAAGACGGTGATGCCGGTGATGGTGGTGGTGGTGGTGGCAGAGGAAGGAAGCACAGATGCGGTTAAGCGGTTCCTAACACTTTGCCGTCCTAAGCACCAAACTGCCGCATTGCGCACGGGGGATTCCAATTTGACTCACGAGGCCCGAGGTCGCTTACGCCACTTCACAAAAGGGGGGAGTGGGGGAAGGGGGAGGAGGGGAAGCTGGCCCGGGTTGCTGTGGTTCGGGGCCGACCGGCGCTTTGCTAGGGCAAAAGGGCATCAATGACGTGCGTGATGCGGGGGTGGTTGTGGCTGTGGTTGTGGGAAGGGCTGCTTAGATGGCGGCAGTGGCAGCGGTTGTCCGACAGCGCGTACACGCCCTCAGTGCTGCCTCAGTCCTGCTCATCCCGTTCCTCCCCTTCTCCCTCCCCAATCTCTCCCCCTCGCCCGCCCCAGCCGAAAGCCATTAGGCACCATGGGCGGCGTATGTAATGCTGTGTTTATCACCAGCATCATGTATTTCAATTCCCAGACCTGCTGGTGGCAAGTTTGCGCAGTCCCCGCCAACCCCTGCACCTGTGTTTCATGGGAGATGGCGCCCCCTTGCAGATAGGAGAGCAGCTCAGCCTTGGATATGGGGCCCTGCAAGAAAGACAGGAAGGGTTTTTTCGTGGGTAGGAGTGGGTTGCGAATGTATGAGGGAAGCACTGCGTGTGTGTGTGTCACGTCTGATGGAGTGGCGCGCCCATCGGCTGGCTCAACAACGGGATTTGGGTCCTACCCCGCACATCATGTGAAAAACGGGTCAAGAAGGACTGCACGTGCTTACATGGATTTCACCCGTTCGATCGAGATAGCGCCAGCCATCCTCGAGGTCCATTTCTTGCACCGAGCCGCACTAGCAGCTCCAACGGCCAGCGGTTAGGCCCGCTAGCGCAGCTATTGTTCCCCTAAGCCTCGGCTCCCAGGCGAGAGGCTCCCGCCAAGAAGAGCAGATAGGGTCATGGATACGGCGACGACACCGCGTGATATCAGGGTGAATTTCATGGTGAGCTATCAGACACTCCTGTGGTTGAAGGAGGGCTGCCAAGGCTGCTCATCACACTGATTTGTCATGCCACCCGCTCTGGTCATGCCTTCGCAACGCACGCAGCCGTGGGGATGTAGGCTGCGTCCTTCAATGCACAGGCATCCATCGGGTAATCCCCCAACCCAAAATCTGTGAGGTTAGAGAGCCAACGCAAGAAAATTTGTGTCGTACCGTACACCGTAAGGAGAGTTTGTCTTACGACCGTCGTCAGTTTTTCATGTAAAAGTCACTGTCCTTCAGGCAGAATCTTTCCCTTGAAGACTTTCACGCTGCACCACACCTTACTAACCCGTCAACTAGTGCACCTTATCAGCCTCCTTGGCTTGCCGCTTGTCCCGCTTTTGCTCTGCAACGTTATTAGGACAAGTGCTTTTCCGCAAATATATTTGGCTATTATAGAAAGAGCTTGACCTACGTAAGGGTTGGCTCTGCGGCGAACTGCTTTCCAGTACCGCTATGATGATGCCCGTCTAGGCGTCATTTGAGCACGCTATGGGGTGCCTTTGTTTCGGCAACAGCAGCCCTGCCGAGCCCGCTAGCCCTAAGCCAGCTCCAGCACCCGCGACATCGGCTAACGGAGCAGGAACACCTGCCGCAGCCCAGAGGCAAGCACCCTATCAAGTTGCCTCCCCTCCTCCGCCAGTTCCAAAGCCCCAGCCAGAGCCGAAGGAGGCGCCCTCAGCGCCAGCACCTGCACTGCAGGCGGAGTCTGTGGACTCGTCCTTCCAAGCGGCAGCGGTTCCGCCGTGGCAGAAGGAGGGGATCATTAACTCTAGGAGCAGCGGCGTAGTATCAGGAGCTACTGGTGCGGAGAAGCTTGAGGGAACACCTACAAAAAGTATGGCAGGAACCAATCTTGCTGAAATTTTGCGTCTGAACCTTGGAGAGGTGGGTTTGTTGTGCTGGACTTGAGGAAACTTGAATGGGATTGCTGAAGGCTTTATTTCTGGTCGCCCATATATGCTGCTATTTAGTAGCTCATACAGCAACATTCCATGTGCGGCTTACAGGTCAAGCTTGTCCTGCAAAAGCTTGCTTCTCTAAATCCAACACCAACGATAGCGCTCAATGAGGCTTCTGAGTTGCTTCAAAAGCACCTCAGCGTTGGCCTATGCAGGTGCGTGGCAAGGAACGGGCTGAGTTCTTTTCAGATACTGGGGTTACTCGGCCCAACTTCTTTTGTGTGATCATATCTGTGTCGCTTGATACCCCACATACTTTTGAAGGAGGGAAAAGGCGTTGACGTGGTGGGTTACGTCGGTTTGATCAGGTGTTTCTTATGGCTCTAAGTACCGTGTTTTAATGCCACACGCAGCATTACGGGGCTCACGGACCATTGTACTTCGTTTGTCTTATTGGCGGCGTATGGAGTGGGGGCTCATGAGCTGGAGCGGACGCCGGTAATGCGAGGGCCGCAATGGTCAGCGGCGCATTTGCTGCAGCAGCCAGTGTACCTTTACCTTACGGCGAAGAATGATGCCGAGGCAGCACAGCTACCCCTTGACTTCCAGGCCTTGTATAAGTATGGGCTGCGGTCGTTTTTGTCCATCCCCATCTCGACCGACCACGAGGTCCTGTCAGTCCTGACAATCGCAAAAGAGGATGCAGACGGCTTCGAAGTCGAATGGTAAGATGCATTGATGGATTGACGTGTTGCATGTTTACAGCTGAACTAGATCACCCTGAACGGGACGATACGGCAACGAGGTTCTGTTTTGCCTTTTTAACCCATGGTAACCGCTCGTCCCGTACGCGTGTGCCGGTTTTGCGGAAAAAATGTCCATGCATGGGGATCATAAGAACCTTTTGCGCTGCTGCACCAATAGTTGCGTGTAGAAACATGAATGCGGATGTGCATGCTGACGTGGCTACTCTACCCCCCACAAATGATGGTGTGGTGAGCACGTCCTCCCCGGCAAGCAGGACTTCTCACTTTTTACTAAAAGCCCAGTGCGATTTTACAGACATCTCCCTCTTCCATCGGCTGCGAAACCGTTGTCGCACCCTTTCGCTATGCACTCCCAGGTCCGTGAATGTCGTCTTACTTTACCTCCGCCGTCCTCCTCCTCCAGTGTCCCACAATCTCTTTTTCCCCTCGCTCCTCCCGACCCCTTCCCCCGGGCTCTGCTTCGCTTAATCCCCCCTCCCGGCACCGTTCTATGGACGCACGCAGTTTATTTCTTTCGTGTTCGCAACGTCATAAAATTTCCTCCCACCCCACCCCACCCCACCCCATCCCACACGGCACCGTCCTGTCGTGGTCCTTCTCCAGAGCTCACGTCCGACCGACCTCCCGCACCATCCTCCTGCTCCTGCCTCAATCCCCATACATCATTACCCGATACCTTGCACCTGTTTCGCTTTCCGAATCCGCCCCGCGGTTATCCCTCCCCGCATAAGGCACCCACGCATAAGTCCACTTCCTGCCCCCTCCCCCTCCCGAGGTCGGCTCCTTCAAAACCGCCTACTGGTCAGTTCTGCTTCTCTTGCCTTGGCAGCAGCTTCAATCGTTCGTGGTTCGTCTTTCCCCCTTTCCCCTCTCTTGACTTTCTCGCATATGATTTTCCCCTTTCCCCCCCCCCCAGGTGGGAACCCATGTTGGGCTGTCTGTCCACCGGATTGCTGTACTACCTGCGCAGCGAGCAGACCCAAAATCTCTGCCAGCTCATGCGGAACCTGGACTCTTCCCCCGACTACACCAACGTCGTACACCAGCTACTGCGCGGCGCACACTCGCTGCTACTGCGCGCCACCAACATCCGCACTGGGTGTCGCCTGGCGCTACTGCCCACCTCGGACATGTCCCGTGCCCTCATCTTCGAGCCCGACCGTGCCATGTCGGCGGCGGAAGGCTACGGGGCCGCGGGCCTGCCGATGGATGTACGGGACAGCGCGCCGCAGATCCACGTGACGGAGATCCAGCTGGAAAATACGCTGCTGCTGGATGCCGTACAGAAGGGCAAGGCGCGGTTTGTGTCGGACTGCGCGTCGTACATTCAGTCGTGTATGAAGCCTGCGACGGACATTTTTATTTCGGGGCAGGAGATGGTGGCTTCGATTGTGGTGTTGCCTCTTATCTTTGACGGCATCACGTTTGGCGGTTTCTACGTGACGCTCGAGACGACCAGCAACTTTCAGAACATCAAGGACCTGTTGATGGGTCTGGTGAACAGCGTGGTGCTGCTGCTGGCTAAGAGGCTGCAGCCCCATCGAGATCAGATTTGGGAGAGCATCCTAACGGTAGGGACGACCCCCCCTTGGGGTGTGTGTGTGTGAAATATGTGGACCCGAAGTCCACAAGGAAAACTGCTGCTGCCGGTGTGTGTGTAGGAGAAGGGGGGGGAGGTAAGGCCAGTGTGAAATTAGGGGTTATGCCGAAATTAGGCTCTTGGTCCTCTGTCTGGCCTGTATGGGCACTCGGTTCACCTCTCTAGTTGGGTAACGCAACCGAGGTGTAACACACACACACACACTTCACAACTGTGTGACACATGATCATAACAGTACCCTCCCTCCTCTCCCCTCCCTCCTCTCCTTCCCCTTCGCAAATTTAAATATCTCGCCGCAGCGCGGCGGAGGTCCCTCCGATTTGGACCAGCGAGAGCGGTCCGAGAACGCCGGCACGGGCGGCGGCGGCGGCGGCTCGGGCGCTGCCGGCGGCCAGGGCGACTCGGTGTACCTGAACTCGGAGGGCGTTGCCAAGCCGGTGGTTGTGAAGCGGTCCTGCACGGAGGCGATGCTCAAGGTGCTGCAACATGAGCTGCGGAAGACTCATGCCAAGACGGCTCAGCAGCACGAGTGGATCGAGGAGCTGACGCTTACGGAGATTGTGGGCAAGGGCGGCTTTGGGGTGGTGTATAAGGGCACTTTCAAGGGCAGTGTGGCGGCAGTCAAGGTAGGGCATGCGCCATGCCGGCGGCGGGGAAGGAGGGGAGGCGTGGGGTAGGGGGAAGACGAACCACGAACGAGTGAAGCCGATGCTAAGGAAAGAGTAATGCGCCAGAAGTAAAGAAGGCACAACTAACCAGTCGGCGGTTGTGAAGAAGAAGCCTTCGCGATGATGTAATGATGACGATAGCGGAAAACTACTTACCTAGCCGCCAAGACTAAATTTAGTGCGGAAAGAGAGCAGGAATGGTTCGCCGGCCTGGCGGCATAATTGAGGAGACTGGACAGAACTGGCTGATAAGCTGGTAGTATAGCTGCTGGTGACGTGCAAGTGCTTCTCTCATCCCCCCAACACGCGCCCGACCCGACCGACCCACGGGAGGGGAGGGGAGGAAAGGGGTTGGGAGGCGTGTCCAGGGCGTGGGAGGGCCGCTGCGGGGATGGAAAGGATTGGGGCTTAATTTTTCATGATCAGAAGAGTTCGGAGTGGCGGGGGCGAGGTTTTTTTAGGGTTTTGATTCTTGCGTGGAGTGTGCTGGGGAATGCTGGAACGGGAGTTGGGTTGCGGGGTTGGTGCTGGTGAGGTGGGTGCTGGGAACTGATCTGTCCAACGGCTGTTGAGAGCGAGCAGCGTGGACTCGGCGAGATTTAGCGCCCTCAAGTTGGTCTTCATGTGTGAGGGGGGTGAGGAGGGGGTGTACGGGGAAGGGAAGTGAATGGGTGAATGCTGGGGATGGGGCGTGAAGGGGGGAACTGGGAAATCCCGTACGGGGCTCATCAAGGAGGGCAGTAGGAAGGAGGCATGGGCGAGGAAATAACCCTGAGCCTGTGAGAGGGGAGGCTGGGAGAGTGATAGGAGAATTGCACACATACACACACACACACACACACACACACACACACACACACACACAGAGCACCGCTTAACTCAACTGGCTCTGGCATCACTCACTCAATCAACATCTAATCAGGAATTCCGCTATATACGTGTCGTACATACATACATGCATGCTCCACGGGTTAATTGTATTAAATACGTCGCTGGTGAGTACGGAGATCATCTCAGTATGAAGTAATTCGTTCGTGTATCGCCCTCGTGCCATTAAGAGGCCCCCCTCCCTCAAAGAACTCCCCCGGCTGGATGACGAAAGCTGGATGCGCCCCCCCCGGGTCCTGATGCCCCTTTTCCCCCCTCCCCCCGTGCGGCCCAGGTGATGTATGCCCGTCAGCACGAGCGGCAGGCCATGAAGGACGCTCTGGAGATGGCGGTGCTCACCACGGTGGGTGGGAGTGGGGGGTGGGGGGGAAGGGGGTGGTTGGAGTGGGGGGAAAGGGGTTTGCAAGGTGGGGACAGGGCACTGTGCGGGGCATCGGTGGAGGGTGAGATGGGGTTATGAAGCAGGGAAGAGGATGAGCAGGGTGGCTGAGTACGGTGCGGGGCGGGGGGGAGCCCGCGGTACGGCGGCCTGCTTCGATTCGGTAGGTTGGTGGGAAGCAGACTGGCACCGCCAACGATGTGAAAAGGGGGGAGGTCACTTCGTCTGTGTGTGTGTATATGTGTGTGTGTGTGTCTCTCGACCTTACCACCCCCTCACGCTCTCCCGCGCCCCCCTCTCCTCAAACCCCTCTTCACAACATCCTCTTTCTCACCCCTTTCCTCCTCCCCCCTCTTTCCGTCTCTCCCCCCCCCTCCCACTGGCGTATCAGTCTATCCTCGCCATCAGCTTCATTCGTTCGTGGTTCGTCTTCCCCCCGTGTCAACCCCCGTGCCGCCCCCCTCTTTCCCTGGCAGCAGCTTCAATCGCGTGTGGTTCGTCTTTCCCCCTCTTTCCCCCGCCCCCACCCCCGCCCCCAGGTGAGCCACCCGCACATCATCCAGGTGTTCAACTGCTTCACGGATATGGTGGAGGACGCCAGTGGCACCAACTCACCCTCGCCCACGGAGGGACGAATCAACGTCAGGTGGGGAAGGAAGGACGGATGGAGGGAGTGCCGGGCTGGGGGGGATTGCGTGCGGGAGGAGGAGGGGAGCGACAGAGGTGTACGTGTGTGTCTGCGTGTACCCTAATGGGGCCGCTGCATTGAGATTTTGGAGTGGGAAGAGGGGTGGTGGGGTAGGGTGGGGTGGGGGAGGATTTGGCGGGAAGGAAAATAGATCCAGTTCGTCAAGTCCTGCTGCTGACGGTTAGTTCGCGATATTCAAAACCACTCCTCCCCATCCTCCCCTTCCTCCCCTTCCCCGCCTCCTTACCGCTTTGGGCGTCAGCAGTTTTTTTTGATATTGCACGTAGTTCCTTCCCCCCTTCTTCCTTCGTGGTTCGTCCGTCCCACCCTTCTCCTCCCCCATCCTTCCCCCCTTCCTCCCCGCACTCCCTCCGCCGTCCCCTCCTCTCCCACCGCCGCGTCCAGGTTCCGTGGCTTGCAGCCCGACGAGGACCGCAGTCTCGCCACCTGCAACATCCTGGTCATGGAGTTCTGTGACAAGGTGTGTGTGTGGGGGGGTGGCGGGTAAGGGGGCTGGGGGCTGGGAGTGAATGCAGGTGTGGGGGAGGGGGAGGGGCCTAAAGGCGGGGGAGAGGGGAGAAGATCGCATGGGTGGAAGGGGAAGAGGGATGTGGAAAAGGCCGCTGCTACTCAGTTGGCCACTAGGAGCTTTGCCGGATTTGAGGCGCAAGGGAAAAGATGGGAGGGGGGGCAGGGCAGGAGATGAAAAGACCGCACCGTGCCTGGTTGGGCTGTGCTTGGTGCTGCGGATGCCATTACTATTAGAACTACTACTCCTGCCAGCCCGTGTCCCACTGCTTTATAATTGTTTCATTGAAAAATGACTGACAAGTTTCTCGAATAGCTGACAGCTCTTCCTCCTCCTCCTCCTCCCCGCCTTCCTTCGTATGCTGCTTTCAAACTGGCCTCCCTCCGTTTCGTTCCTGCTCGTTCCTGCTCGTCCCTGCTCGTACCGCCGTGTTCTTCAGGCCTCCCTGCGCCATGCCATGAAGAAGGGCGTGTTCCACAAGCGGCTGGGCAACACCAGTGTGGCGGTGGACCTGTGCGCCATCGTGCAGGTGCTTATCGAGGTGGCGCAGGCCATACAGCACCTGCACTCGTTGAAGCTCATCCATTGCGACATCAAGGTGAGGGAGGGCGCTGGCGGGGGGGGGGAGGGGGGTAAGACGAACCAACCACTGGCGATTGGCGCAGACACCAAAGATAGGCGGGTAGTTTAGGAGGGGTTGGGCGGGAGAGAAAGTAATATGTGGGTGGGGCCGGGGGGAGGGGGGAGGGGGGTCCTCCGCTTCGGTCTGGGAGCTGAGCGGGTCTATGGGAGTAGGGTTAGGCGTATGTGGCGCCGGTCTCACTTGGGAGAGTGGAAGGGGAGGGGGAGGGGGGAGGTTGCGGCGTGTGGAGCTGGGGGGAAGGGGGAGGGACGCTGGGGATATCTTCGTTGGTAGGGATAAAAAGGGGAGAAGTCGTATGAAAATGTAAAAGCATTGCAAGAAAAAAGTATGTACATCTGTAAATATAAGCTCGTGGCAACTGTAGCTGGCCTGGAACCCTACTTGCCTCGAAAGTTGCCAACAACGAAACCCGACCCCGACCAAACGTTAACCCCGAACCCCCCAATCCCTAAAATTCCAACTCCTCTCACAGCCCGAGAACGTGCTGCTCAAGTCGGACGGCTCCAAACCCATCGGCTTCATCACCAAGCTGTCGGATTTCGGTTTGGCCAAGTTGCTCAGAGAGAACTACTACATCGTCAACCGCTCCGGCTCGGGGACGGTGACGCACCTGGCGCCCGAGCTGTTCCAGGTGGGAACGAACTGCGTGTGTATGTATGTATGTATGTGCGGGTATGTATGTATGTACGTGTATGCGTCTATGCGTGTATGTGCGTGCGTGCGTGTATGTATGTATGTATGTATGTATGTGTGTATGTATGTGTGTGTTTTGGGGTAAAGGGGTTAGGTTTTGGGGAACAAAACAGCGGGTGGTTGTGGACTTGGAGCGCTGTCGTAAAAAATTGTTGACTTGCAAGTGTCACGACGGCTTTGTTGTTGAAGCGGGTTTCTTTGTTATCGGAGGAGTGCTGTGGTCTGTGGTGGGGTTGCTGTTGTGTGTCCGGTAGCGGCGGCCTGTCTGTATGTTTGTCGTTCCCTGGCGGCAAGGGGCCCGTCCCTTCCCGTCCCTCTTCCCCTCCTCACCTTACTCCTGGCGCATCACTCTTTCCCTGGCATCAGCTTCACTCGCTCGTGGTTCGTCTTCCCCCTTCCCTTTCCGGCCCTCGACCCTGTTGATGTTGTTCAATCCGGATAATCCTTGTCGTCCTAGTCACGTTTGCGTTACTTACCTCCCGGTGTATGCGCGTATGTATGTCCACCCCCAGGTCGGGTCCAAGTTGACCACCAGTGTAGACACCTTTAGCTTCGGTGAGTTCTGGTTTGAGGGGGTTGGGGTCGGGGGAGGGGGAGGTTATTGTGGTGTTTAGGGTTCGGATCTGACGGGTGACTAGGACTGTGTGTAAAGAAGGGAGGGATATCGCCCTGGGGAAGAGAAGGGTCGCATTATGACAACCCTGAAGGCGCTGGTCCTTTCTCCCTCTCTCCCTTGTGCATGCTATTCCCTCCCCTCCCTGTTTACCTCCCCTTAACGCGTTCGTGGTTCGTCTTCCCTCCCTCCCCCCCTCCGCACCTGGCTTGACCTCTCAGGCATCATGATGTGGGAGTTGTACACGGGCCAGCGGGCGTACGGCGGATTGGGACGAGATGCCATCATCGACAGGTGGGGGCGGGCGAGATGAGGCTGGGGGGAAAGGTGCTTGGCCCCAATACCCCCTCACACCGCCGTAAGGATGGCGGGACACACAATTAGACCGTCCGGTGACGGCGGGGCCCCCTCCGCACCACGTTCATGTATTCCTTAAGGCTTGCACCGTCATGTGACGCCACCTCGCCCGAACGCTAGTTGTGTCACCGGCTGCGGCAGCTGTTGGGCAGCTTTGGGCATCGGGCTCAGTTGCTTTATGGGCATGTCTAGTACCATGTATGAAGTATGTAACGACTTGTTTCTTTTGCGTCGCGTAATTAGCCCCACGTCTGTGTAATCTCTCCCCCCCTCCGCATGCTCGCCTCGTCCTCCCTTTTTTGGCGTTTTACCTGATCAGGGTGTACAAGAAGAAGGCCCGACCCATCTTCCCCCTGGGGGTGCCTCAGCAGTACGCCACCCTGGCCAAGGCCTGCTGGGACAACGACCCGGCCGCCCGGCCGCCCTTCACGCAGATACTGCTGCGCCTCTCGGAGATGCTCGCGTCCTTCACATCGGCATCGGCACAGGCGCAGCAGCAGCAGCAGCAGGGCGCCGCTGCCGCGGCGGCGGCTGTGGCCGCCGCCGCGGCGGCGCCTCCGGCGGCGCCGCCAGCCGTCGCCTCCGGCGGCGGTGGTGGCTCTGCGTCGCCGACGCCGATAGGTAGCGGGGGCGCGACGATGCCGACGCCGGTGCCGGCTGCGGGCAGGGTGGCATGAGTTTGCATGTGTCGTACGGTGGTATAAAGTGAAAGAGGGCCGGCAGCAGCATTTACAGCTACATCATCAGCGAATAGAGAGACGGGGAGGAGGAGGAGGAGGATGAACGCAGTCGGGATGTGTTAAATCAGTTGCTCCATGAAATGGCATCGGCGGCCGCATCGGGGGGCGGCCTTGGCAGGATGGACAGTGTGGTCACCGCCCTCCCCCGTGCTGCTAATCCCTAGCTGGCGTAGGTGTGCTTCTACATGATCAGCGGCTCTCCGGGGCTTCTCTGTGTCCTGCTTGCCCTGGAACAACGCTAGAGAGTAGAACAGCTTAATAAAAAGGGACGTGATGAGTGTATGCTGGGTGTTGCTCAGGTTCAGCGAAATATCCCCCGGCGCTGGCGGCGGCGGTGGCGGATGCCGCTGCGACGGATGTTTTTTCCGATGCCTTTCTTTTCCGCAGGTGCGTTTAAGACGGAGAGCGAAACTCCGCAAAATAATGCGGTGTCCGCCTGCTGTGTCTGTATATATGTGTGTATGTCAAGACTGGCTGGCGTGCGACGTCAGCGCGCACACGTTCGACGACGTTCCACGTTCCTCTGCTTCTTTCGGGGGTCCCCCTGCAGCAGTGCGATGTCTCGCCCTTGAACCGGCACCACCTCGACTCTTCAGGTTGTTCGCAAGCCCCTGTCCGTCTGTCTATCTGTCTGTGTGTCAGTCCGTCCGTTGGGGGAGCGAAGAGCCGGGTGCATGCCTACAGGCACACTGGCCGTGTACGTCAGGCGATTGTTAACGTCTGTTCAACGCATGTTGGTTTTGTTCAACAGTAGCCTTGTCGGTGTAGTTGTAGTACATACGCTTTTGCGGTGTTCTCTACCTAGCAGGCGAGGACACAACCCACTGGGTGAGCCCCCCGGGCTGGTTGCCAGTTTCCCGCTTTCTTTGTTGTGCCGGTGGGGGTCTCAGGACGCGTTCCGCAAACCGGAAGAGCAGCGTCCAATCCCCCCAAAGTTGAAAAATGAGGCCGATAGAGAAGGCGATAGGCGATGGCGCAACTCGGTTTCGGTGAGGTGGTGTGGTGGTGAAAGGGGGAGGCGATGCATGTGGAGAATGCGGAGGCGAGTTAGTATAGCGCATCGTTCATCGACCTCACCGCAGATCGCGCACACGCACAAAAATGTTTTTCGTCGTCACGACGTGCTGTTCTCCGCGCGCGCATCAAGTTTGTTGTCGTACATATGTAGTACGGATTTGTGTATGGGGCATTGATTTTTGTTTTGGCATCTTAATTCCAGGAGGAGGTCGTTGTGGGTCCGGTCCCCACGCGCGCGTGCGCTTGCACAATGATGTATGTGTGTGTGTGTGTGTGTGTGTGTGTGTGTGTGTGTGTGTCACTGTGCCTTCTTCGCAGGGGGGGAAGTGGAGTGCCGCGATGTGGCCAAACCCACCTGGCCCCGGCAGTAATGGACCCGCTTCCAGTAATGGGCCCTCATCCTATCGAGTGCACCGGAATGTACTTCCCTCCCTCCTCCCCAACCTATACTCCTCCGGTAGTGGCTAGCATCATATTGCAAAACATTATGGTCCCCTAGCTATTACCCCTTTCCCTCCCTCCCCGGCACCCTCCTGGATCATTCCTGCGGCCTCGGCCTCCTCCCCCCGGGGGGGAGAGCCCCTTGAGTGTTGGAAGTGTTGATTCTCCCCGGTAGATGACCTGCCGGCGTGCCTGCCTGCCTGCCTGCCTGCTTGACTGCCTTGCTGCATGAGCCAGCAATTTAAAGTTCGAAGTGAAGACTGCGTTTAGTCGCCGGGGGATAAGGCCCAACGTGTCCAACGCGCTGTACCGGGGATCCGTGTTGGGAAGCCGCTGTAGCCGCTGCCCTGCGCGCACAGCCGCGTTTTGCCCTCCGCAGCTCGTAGGCTCGTGTATGTGAACGTGTATGCGAGTGTGTACTGATGCTTAGCTTGCGCGCGGTGGTGTGGCCCGTGGGTCAGTGAGAGAAGGGTCTTGTTGGCGGCGCATGGGAGTCGCTAGGCACACGCCGCGATATGCGTGGGGCCTCAGCAATGTCGTCAGGCCTCCGCAACTGGCCGTCGAGAGTTGCGCGAAGTGGCGTGGTCAGCAAGTCCGGTTGGTGACCCGTGGGTCTGTAGTAGGCTGTTGGTGACACTCTTGGGTCTGCACACATGCAGCCGCTGGAGACCATGGGCTTATGCATCAAGTTGTTTCATTCTATCCTTCGGGGGCGATCTGTCTAGCCACGTCAGCAGGCATGCCTTCCCCGGCGTGCGTGCAGCTGAGGAGGCCACAGGTCCGCTCTTTCGTTGCATCTAGGAACCAAAAGATGAAGATGACGATGATGATTTGTTAGGAGAAGAGAAGAGCGTTTGGCCTCTCGTCGCGTCGTGGAATTCGCGATGCTTGACGCGACAGAAACGCATGCAAGGCAAGGCAAGGCAGGGGGGAAGGGAGGGAGGAGAGGGACCTACCGATACGGGAAAATCACGAACGACGGTGGTGGCGGTAGCGTTGGTCGTCATGATGGTAGCGGCAACAGCTGCTGCTTCTTAACCCGCCCCTTTACGACGACGTAGAAGTGCTCGTCGTCTCGGGTTAGCGGAGCTGACGCCGAAGGTCACCCGAAAGGTGATGATATACAGTGTTGCCGCTTGCCGCAGACGTGATCTTGACCAACGATTTGACCGCGCACCGGTCCAGGGTGCGTTCCCTGCATGCCATGTGGCCGCCTGCGGCCGCTGTGTACTCCCCATGATGATAATGGCGACGGCGATGATGACATGACTCTGCCAGACAGAGCAGGATCATGAAACAAACTCTGGACTGACAGTCTCAACTTTGCTTCACTGGCTTTTGACCCGACCCGAGGCTTGCTCCTATCCCGGAGTGTGAAGAGGGCTTTGCGAAGCGTCAAGCGTGCGCGGTACAGGTAGGGTTATTGTTTTTGTAGCTACCTAAGGAGGGGGGGAGGGGGTTGAGGAGGGGGGAAGGAGGGCAGGGCGGCGGCAGGGCTCCCGAAGTTGTTGACCTCAAGAGCCCCCGTTGGATTAGGGGATAGGCGAGAGGATCATTCGGGGGTTCATGGAGTACGTGGGGTACGTGGGAAGGCAGCCATGAACGCGGGAAGGGAAAGCACCCTGGGCGCCGCTGTGGGGGAAAGTAAAGGAGGGGCAAGGAGCTGCCGGTGCCACGGTGGCTGTGGTGCTTGCGCCGGTGACGGTGCTGGTGGCATTTGGTGGTTGCTCTGGTGGCAGTAGTCGGGCTATTCAAGTAGGGAGTGGTCCTCCCACCCGCGTCGGGGTTGTCGTCTTCCTCCTGCTGCTAGTGCTGCCGATAGGGAGGGCACCTGGGACCCGTGCGCTCGTCCACTCAATGGCTGTTAAGGTTCTGCGGGCCGGTGTTATGAATCCCGAAAAAATGTGCGATGTTGTTGAGAATTGTGGGCTTACATATCATGAGAATGATGATTAAAGTTGCAATTGCGATCAACAGGGATCGAGCGGCCGTTCTGAATGATCCCTGTGTCGTTCTTATGAGAACGACAACGACGAGTGTGTGCATGTGTATATGCTTGTACATGTATTTGCGTATGTTAGGAAATGGCTGGATAAGGCCGAACGAACAACAAGGGAGATGTACGCGAGTGCAGGGGTGTGCTTTTGAACCCCACGGCAGCGGAAGGTGCTGCCTTACAAACATTCAACATGAAAGAGGGACGTCTGTATGTGTGCGTGTGTATGTAAGTATGCCTCCGTGTACGTGTGTATATGTGTGTATACGTCTGTTTGTATGTGTCTGACGGTATGCGCGTACGTCCGAATAGGTTGAAAGCCTGACGGCAGGGGGTGCGCGTGCACGCTCGCGCCTTTTTATGGGGCTTCCTTCCTATGTTTAGATGTTAGTGTTATCCCTTCTGCCAGAATCCCGCATAGCGCCCAAGAACATGTTTCGTACACTTCCTTGCTGTGTGTCTGTATGTATGTGCGCGTGTGCTTCTTCCTGGCAAGGTCAGGACAACGATATGCGCTATGAGCTTTGAGGGGACGACGAGAATATACATCACATACAGATGCATATGTCAAGAGTAGTGGGGACCGCCAGCCTGGGCGGCCTGCGCGCACGTTCTGATCCGTCCCCTGTACTCGTGGGGACAAAGGGACAAAGACGTGGTTTAGGCCCTCATCCGAATTCGTCCGCGATGGCACTCCAGGTTGGCAACCGAGCACAGCCAAGCCCTCCTGTGCCCGATTGGGTTTTTGGCATATTGTGGTTTGGGACGGGTAAGGCCCGAGCTGCCTTTGCACTGCCGCCAATGCAGCTGAAATCGGCTGCGCATATCTGCGGCAGAGTTTGTAAACGCTTGTGCGATTGCTTGCTTGGTTACTTGCAACTGCCTGAACACTCTGCTTCGTATGTGTCCTTGATTAAGGCAGCGGACCGGTCGTCGGAAGCCCGGGCGCAGGCAGGCAGAGGCTTTTGGCAGAAGAATACAATTCAGCAACGTTGAGTAAAACTCCGTATAAATCCTCCTTTTAAGAAGTTTCGGAGGACAGGAAGCTTCCGCTGTGGTCGCAGCTGTGGTGATGATGTAGGGAAGGCGGCAGACGGGTAAATAAAGCTCTGCTGATTTCGGTATGAAGATGCTTTTCCCTGCTTCCTGTGCTACGCGGCTGTCAACGGAAGGGGTCCGGCATTAAGGCGCGGGAGGACGGGGTCGGAACATCGATCCGAAGGAGCACGTGCGATTGTTTGTGTGTATGTGTATGTGTATGTGTATGTGTGTGTATGTTCCGGGCATGTGGGAAAGTTTATGTGAACACTGCTGTCAAGGTATGCTTGAACGCAACCCCGAGGCAAGCGTCGCGAGTTTGATTAGGATGGTGAAGTTCGTGTGTGTGGGGGAAGGGTTGTAGTGGCACGCGGTACAACGCTAATGGGGGGAAAGGGCCGAAAACGGAGGAGGGCGGATTCATCCAGGAGCCTGCCGGGGAGGGGAGCGAGTGACGCCGTAGGACAGTAGCAACAAGATGGGCGCTTGGGGAGTCCCAATGGGGACGGCCGGCCCGCAATATTTTCAGGATTTCTCAGCGCCCAGGTTTTTGAACTGGCGGCCAGATACGTACCTCAGTACGGCGATATCCAGGATCTCATCCTTGCGGTAGTGGTGGTGGCGAGGCCAGCTCGCGCGGTCCGTTAAAGGCATGATGGAGCCGGAGGTGAGGCCGGAGATATTTTAAGCCTTGTGGTTGGCTTTGGAAGTGTGCGCAGCGTCAATGGTGTCATGTACTGTCATCGTACTGTACGTCGTACACGTACGAAACACCTTAGTTGGGCGGCAACACTTCCGCAATGCATGGAAGGAGATACCACGCGCCGGACGACAGCATTGTTACGAGCGCAACGTTGCGTTGCTTGTTTCTCAAATTGCAATAATCTCTTCTCTTTTTTCACCGCTGGCACCGGCATCGGCTGAGTACCGCCCAGCTGAGCGCTATTCGTTTTTATGCTACACAACCAGTTTCTCGAATGAACAGAAAAGGTTAAAACAGGTACAAGCTGTCAATTACTGCTAAGGAAAACTGCCACACGTAGGCGTCACACCAATACTTCAGACAACACCGTGCCGTAGAGGGCTTTCGCGCGCCGATAGATGTCCTCGTCTGTGAGTAGCGGGCGACACACTGCAAACCGCATAACAACACATCACAAACTCCCCCCCGGCGAGGCTGCACGCCGCGGACGGGCTCCCGCGACCTTGGAGAACTGCACACTCCTCCCACTCTGCATGCCCTGCCCTGCCTTTCCTTTCCTTTCCATTATTATTAAAATTAAATTCATGGTTGCAAAGGACGAACGCATGGATTGAATTACCGAATGGGAACGTGGGGACAACCGATATCCGATTATGTCAATGATACAGCAGCTGCAGGTTATAAGTATGCAATGCCCAGAAGCCATCCATCCGGGGGCTAGTTTGTCCTCGAGGGCAAGAGGGCAAAATCAGGAAAGCAGTCAGGAATACAGTGTCTAAAAACGTGTCGTAATTGCCGTGAGGGATGCGGAGTGGAGCGAGGAGCATTTGGACGATGCAGATATGTAGGTATATGATTGTGCTTTTCCGTACCGTAAATTCCGGCATCAGACGCCGCCATCAACCTTGCAAGTACAAGCTTGCAGCCGTAGTTCCCACTTCCCCCCTCCCCCACCCGACACCCTCGCACATCTCCCAGGCCCCCATTCACCTTCTGAGACCATCCCACCCGCATGCCATCATCCAGCCACCGCCCTCCCCCGCCGAGACAGCTCGTCCGCCAATCGCCCCGCCGCCACCTCCACCGCCCGCTGAAGTCCTTCCACCTGCTCGCGTAGCGGGTGCGGCACCTCCTGCTGCTGCTGCTGCTGTTGGTGGTGTTGGTGGTGTAGCCCACCCGCCCCCGGCCCCCGGGACGCCTCCTGCCCCCCTTCCTCCTCCTCCTGCCCCCCTTCCTCCTCCTCCTCCTCCTCCCCTTCCTCCTCCTCCTCCTCCCCTTCCTCCTCCTCCCCTCCGCCGAAATACTGGGAAGGCAGCTCCCCCAGCATGAGCTCCAACGTGTTGGACACGGCCTCCGACTCTCCACGCAGCTCCTCCAGGTCGTCCTGCAGGTGCCGTACACATCGTACATATCCGTACGAGGTCAACAATCATGCATTTACAGCAGGGCAGGAGGGGGCTGACGGGTCCCTGGTCGCGCCCCGCGGTGTGATTTCCCCCACGGGAGGTGGGTGGGGTGTGTATGGACCACCCGCACCTACCTCTCCCCCCTTTTTGTAGCCCCAATTCAGTCATCGTCAGCGCCTCGCAGCCGCCCGGGCGCGACCGCGGCTGGTCCAACCCAATCTGTAACCCGGATGCAGATCACGAGCCCCGCTTTCTCCTCCATTTGCCTTCCCTTCGCTCCCCACCCCCCTCTTTCCCCCCGGGAAAGCACCCACATGCGGCGGGTACAGACAAGCCACGAGGGCCTCGCAAGAGGATCTCAACTTGGCCGCGTGCCAGATCAGGCTCTCCCACTGCTCCAGGGGGGAGCCGGAAGAAAGTGGGGGACCTGGGGAAAGGCGGGGGGGAAGGGGAAGGGGATTGACACACAAGGGTCTAAACACACATACATGGGGGGCCAGGGACCGGGGTCTGGGATAAGGACCCAGATCAGACTACCGATCCCCTTCAAGCCATTGATTGCAGTTCCTAAAACACACTTACTCCCACCCTTCTCCCCGGGTCGTCGTCCTCCTCACCTTCCAGAAGGGGCCTGCTAATGAGCCGCACCACCCCCCCAGCTGCATGTAGCAGCCCCGCAGCAGCCTCCGCAGTTGATAACTCCGAGGCGCTCAGAGTGCCCATATCGCGGAAGTCATCGGAGTCCTCCTCCTCATCATCATCATCGTCATGTCTGACATCGCCGTTGTCTTCCTCCCCTTCCTCTTCCTCTTCCCCCTCCTCCCCCTTCTTTGTTACACCGCCGCTACCGTTGCAGCTACGGCAGTTGTCGTTGGAATCGCCAACTGCTCCGGAGCCTTCGAGCTCCTGGCGGGAGGCCTCGCACAGCTCGTCCAACTGTACGGAGCGACAGGAGCACGCTCACGTGATCAGGCTCGTGTTGCAAAGAAAAGCACACTCAGGTTCTGACGTCGCGTGATGTGACGCGAGTGTTACACCTTCTTGAGTTGCGTCACCCTCTTCCCTCCCCCTTCCTTCCCTCCCTTCCCCCCAAAGGAAAACTAGCTATTATCCTATCACTTGAAAAATATGCCGAACCATCCGAGCTATTACCGGGCCATAGCACTGCGTCTACATGCTACATAAGACCCAGACCTTATCAGGTCTTTAGCACACACTTTAGCGGTAAAGCTTGCGGTGTATAGGTCAACGCACGGAATAAGTAAAACCCCAAACCCGTCGACCCCCTCTCCCCCCCCCAAAGCACACATACCCACATCAACCTCCCCCCATCCCCCTCCTTCCCCCCTCGCACCTCTTTGGCGGCTCCCTTGACCCCCTGCATTACATCCGCGAGTTGCCTAAACAGGCAGCTCTTGTTGTCCAGGGGAGCCCGGGTCAACTCGTCGCAGGCGCCCCACACCAAACCTAAACAGCAATGGAGCACAATGGACCACACAAGCACCACCACCAGTAACACCACCGCCACCATCATCACCAAAACAGGAGCACCACACGATTCCTCGAGAGCACGGTAGCAGGTGTTGGTGGCAACTTTATAAAACGGATGGAGATGTCCTTACTGGCATTATCACTAATACTACTATCATTCACATTATCATTAGGGATATGGGATATGGGAAGTAGAGAAGCCTTTATGCAGCAACAGCATCACCAGGCAGCAGCTGCGGCGGCGGCAGCAGCGGCGGCAGGGTTAGATAGGAACCCCAGAGCCCAGGCGCCAGGAAGCCGCCACACGGGCAGACAGCCGCGGTGTGCCGCAACCGCCGTTCAGGTTGATCGTACTAGCAGACATGAGGTCGCCGTACACGTACCGCAGTTCCCTCAAACAAACAAAGACTCACCGAAGATTCTTTTTAGGCCATCCGCATCTCCATCGCCGCCCGCCTGCATGGGCGGCGTGTATGTGTGTATGTATGTATGATGTGTGGGACAGGGGGGCCATTTCTTCACCCTGCGGCCGCTACCCGGCAGACCCTGCCTTCCCCGGTATTTCGGGGCACCCTCATCAAGTCACCCTAGCCAACTTCTCAGTGGATCGCTCAGGTTCCGCACCCACCACTGGCATCCAACGGAATCTGCCGGATCGTCGGCGGCTCAACTCCATTCCTGGTCGGCTCGCAGGTTAACTTTATGCCGGGTCACCACCGTCCATGAACTAGGGGCGCAATACCTTCCACCATCGGAAGGATTTTCGACCCTGACAGGTCTCGATCCCGGAATCCCCCGGGGGCATTGCTGCGTGCTCTACCAGTAGTGCCTGAAGTATGTATGTATGTATGTATGCTAAAAATGAGATGGAAAAGCTGAGGATGGTACGAGAGTGACGTTACCGAGTGTGCTTGTGAACCCCCAAAACACCCGAAGTCCCCCCCACGATCCCTCACCCACTACACCACTCCCCCCCCGCCTACCAGCTTCTCCACCAGCTCCCGGGTAGGTCCCACCACCCCCTCGCACAGCTGCCTGAGGGAGCGCTTCAGAGAGGGACCCGACCCCGCAGTGAAGCCGTGGCAGTAGCTGATCAGGGCTGTGGCGGTTTGCTCCAGGGAGGAGGTCACTCCTTGTAGCTCAGCGGGGGTTGTACTGGGGGGTGGGGGTGAGGTGGTGGAGGCCGGCGGCTGGCTGGTGGCGGGGGCCCCGGCAGCGGTGGTGGATGCTGGGGCGCTTGACACGAGCATGACCGCTGCGTGAGGGGGTTGGGTGGGGAGGAGCGGGAAGGGGAAGGGGGGAGGACAGAAAGGGGGCGAGGCGGCGGCGAGGGAGTGTGAAATGAGAGAGACGGGTGGGGAGAAGGGTCCGCATTTTAATGGGCCCTTGTGAATGCGAGGGAGTGGGCTGGAAAGATGGGAAGGGTTGATTTGTGTCGAAGTGTTAAGAGAAGAGATGAATCGCTGCAGCCGGCGGGTCGTGAAATGACGAGGAGGGAGATTTTGAACATAGAGCACTTTGGAGCCGACGCCAACTACGAGGTGCTCTTTGCAGGGTGTAGATAGGTCAGCGCTATGGGGAGGTTCGTTTCATGGTGAAAGGGGCTGCGGTATGGAAGGGAGCGAGGGGAGTACCGGAAAAGTGGCGCCGAAACACCGTCGTGACGGCGCGCACCTTTGGCCGCCGCCTGCTTGTGCTTCTCAGCAAGGTCTCGCAGTTGCTGACGACCTCCTATTGGAATTGCAGTGCTGTCAGGTCCTTTAAAAACATCTAGGGCAGCTTCCAGACTGTCGTGTCGGGCATCGACTGTCCTTGATGGCGCTGGAGGTTGCATGATGTTAACCATTGCGTTTAGGAAGTCGCATTAGGGTTTTAGGGTGCGAGCGTGTAACAACCTTGTAAACCCTGTGAGGAGTTCATCGAAACGGAAGCAATAGAAAATGCCGTACAGGCAGACGTTGTGAAAGCTGAAATGCAATGCCGTCCTCGTGACTGTATCTTATACTTAAAACAGGCTGCTTGAAAAAGATAGCATACCTCCATGTATCTGCTTCTCTTGCCGAGGACTACCAAGCACTCTCCGTGAACGCACTCTTCGGACGTGACATAAAACAAGTACGCTGCTCCTATTTATTTGTCTGATACCACATGGTAGTTGTACTTGTGCCAGCGGGGCTGTCCCCGCTGGGCGGTGTAAGCAAAGGTCTTGGCGCCCTCTCTGGCGTGTGCGGGTTGCCGGCCATCGCACCTCCAGCGCCTTGCTCTTCTGAGACAAGTATTACTCAGGCTCGAGAGTCGATGCAGCAAAGGGCTGGGCGTGGACCTCTCGTCATAGAAGCCCGCGGTGCTACCAAGGCTCCTCCAAGGACGGGAACGCGTGCTTCTGCATCTCGTTTCTTGGAATTTGTGGCCAGCAAGCCTAAGCTCAGGAAGCGGAGGCGGGGCAAGGGTGACGACGGCAGTGGAAGTGACAGTGGTGGCGATGATGGCTTTGGGGGTTCCGGTGGAGGCTGGAGGGGTGGCTCTTTCAACGGGGGCTTTGGTGATCACGGTGGCTATAGTGGAGGCGAGTACTTTTCGAACTGGCTTATGTACGAGGGCGCGTGGGTATGGCCGGCCATCGTTGCGGCATCCGTGCTGCACTCTCTGGGATATTGCGTTCTGGCAACGGATGATGCACGAAGATCCCACTTGCGCTCACGTACGGTTAGCAGCGTCGCATAGCGTTCTTAAGGGTACCCGGCGAGTAGGGTTTAGCTTTGATCAACTTGCGACTGCTGGATGGCGTCAGCCCATGGCTTGCTTCGCTGTGGAGAACGTTTGAAACTTGGTATAATAAACAGGACCATGCGGCAAGCGGGGCGTGTGTAGCTACATGGAATTTAGGGCGACACATCTCTCGCTGCATGTGTCGTCAAGCTCACGGAGAGACGTCGGTTTGCACCCATGGGAACATCTCTCGGCGTCTTCAGGGCTGAGGTATACTTTTTGCAGCTTTGGGGATTCTATTCGTGAGGAACAGTAGCCTGCTTGCAACATTCGCCTTGTTGCAATCCTCGGATGATCGCCACGCGCCTCAACACTGCGCGGCCTGGCGTCGGGTGCTGTAGCACCACCGTAGATGATAAGACCACTTAAAACTGGGCAGCCGCGTGCCATCTTGGCGTCCGCACTTCCATGGACACCTGCTGCCTCCGTGGCGTGTCGGGGGCGAGCTCCCGCATTCTTGGCTTTTTGCGTACTGGTGGCGCCGCCAGTTGTATTTTATTTTGTTGTGATACAGCACATCAGACCACACAGGACAGCACTCCAGACCGGGTCAAAGGGAGGCAGGGCTTCCTTGGCGTTGGGGGGAGGAGGGAGGCGAGTTCAACCGGTGGTCCTCGACAGTCTTCCTCGCCCGGTTGTGTACTTTTACCAGGGCGGTTCAGTATCAGAGCCTCCCTACCCTGATTTCGCTTACTATGAAAGCTGCGCGCTATATGCGCATTCACGCACAGACGCATGCTGTGTCGATGTAATTTACGTGTTGTGTTCTTGCTCTACAAACCTGCCAGTCAGGTTTTTTTTAGATGGTCTGTCGGTTGGTCGAAGTCGGTTTCGTCAACAACGGCAGAAATATGTTGATGATGGTCGTGGACCCTGTGTGCATATATCGCCTATGACTCCTGTGGCGCCTGGGCCGTTTATCATGCATCTTTTTGGAGGAGAGTCTTTCAAGCACTTCTTGTTGGTTTGGTTTTGGGTTTGTGCGCATTGTTGTTGCGGCGCTGCACTACACTGCACTGCACTGCACTGGGGTATAGTAAGGTCCCCGGTTGGGACTCGGGTTGGTTATAGCCGTGGTGTCGTAAGTGGATACGCGCCCGGGATGAGGTGGGGTGGGGGACCAGGTGTGGCGAGGATATCGCCTGCGCGGCTACAGTGGATTAGCTCCGGTGTTGGTTGGTGGCATGTAATGGCCACAAGAGCAGTACGGAAATCGCGGAGTTGGCGTACTCACCATGTCTGCTATATGGGGGCGCAAACTGCCAACCGCCGATGGCGGACAGTTGCGATAGTACGAAGAAGCAGTTTGAGAAGTCAGTTGAGAGCTCCACGATAAAACCAATATGGTTGGTGGAACTCCGTGTCGGTACCAGATGAAACAATTCTGTAAAGCAACTCCACTTCAGCTTTCATCCTTTACCCGGCGCCTCCACATCACTGATCTGACCTAACCAGGCGGGCAGCAGCAGCCGCAGACACCTGTGCGCCGTGTCTTGAGGTTTTCCCCACGGCCCGGGCGAGTGCATCATGGTGTGCGTGTGCACAACAACAATAACTCCCCAGTCACGGTATTTTGCAGCATAAGCGCACGCACACACATAATGAATATGAATGTGATGTGCTTAAGCACGGTGCTTGGAGTAATGAGTTCCGTTTCTGGCCGACAGGGCTTCTGCCCTCACACAACTAGCCTTTGGAGGCATATCCTGGAGGCATGATGATGTACGGCATATCACACAGGCTTTACGACCGACCTTGCCATCACAACTGTTCTCACAGTAATGCCATCCGCCTGCCCCATAAGGATGTGGGCCCGCTCCTCCGCCGGGTCCTGGTCAGCCCACAGGGTGTGCTGAGCTTGGAGCCGCACACGGCGCTGTTCAATGCACCCATTCCGTCCCTGCCACACAGCACGTCCTGAGGCCACCTGCGGAGGCTCTTTGTGGAGGCAGGGCTGTCCCCACACTGCAGAACACACTCACTGCACTCTGAGTGTGTGACCGTTACTGAGGCAGAAGCTGGGCCACTGGAAGAGTGTGGAAATCTTCGAGAAGCATTATGTGATTGCAGCTCGGGGCTGGGGGCGCCCTTTTCAATCAATACTGACCAGTGATCGTTTCATCGTACATCCTGATGATCTACTTGTAGATTCTTTCAAGACCTGTCATCACTATCGGCTACTAGTGCAATTTTTACAATTGGTTGGTGTTGGGAGGGGCCTTTGCAGCCGGGTTGTTTGCTACCAAGCCGAGCCGGCGGCGGCTGGCAGCTTACCTAATGGAACACGACAAGGCAGGACTGAGCATTAAGCTTCAACTTCTCAAAGTGGAGTATGCGTGTAGAGATGGGCGAGTTATTGTGAAATAACTGCCGTGGTGCGTGGAAGCAGGGCGCATGTATGCATCTCCACATATCAGGCTCTGGGCCATTCACGGAAGAAGACCATCGACCAGCTGCCGGATGTCCACCTCGGTGGTGACCTCTCGGTCCTGGTCCGGCACTGTGAACGTGCATGCACCTGCCACCTGGGTAAATAACACGGCAGCAACATGGTGCATCGCACACAGATGCCAGGCCCAGCAACATGTAATGAACCGAGAGATTGCTGCATTTGCCCGTATGGTGGCCTGCTGAATCCTCTCCTTGCATAGCTGCAACCAGATATACGAACAGGGTGATAACGTTTTAGTGCCCTAACAAACCGGGCCCCAGCAGAGCCACCCTGTAACAGGGGCGTGGTTTGTTAGGTTCCGCAAAGTTATTGCGGGTTTACAAGAACTTAAGGGGTGTTTCCACTTGGGATTAACATCGTGGATTAAGATATTTAATCCACACCGATTCGCCACTAATCCAGGGAAGTGTTTCAATGCCACTTCCCTCTCCCATGCCACTCTACACGCCGAATTACTGTATGCCCTTCCAGTAACCTGTCAATTCTAGTTCACTCCACCCAACCTAGACCCAGACCCGTATGCCTCCCCCCGCCGCACTCCTCACTCAGTCCCACAGCCCTCTTCCATCTGCCACGGCATGGCATAGGTCACCAAGCCCACCAACACCAAAGGAAACCCCGGAAGGACTCCACTGCCATCTAGACTCCACTGGGACAGTGGCTGCTATTACTTACTATCGCCATAACGATGTCTGCATAGCCATCAGATAACAGTATAAGAGATCAAAAACTGGCCCCGAGATGGTAACAGCTGTGCATGCCAAGTCGGGTCAGGTCGGGACTCTGAGGACTACGTATGGGAGTTAGCCTAGGGCACTTCTCTGTTTCCCAAGAGGCAGATTTTCACACTGCGTACTTTGGCTGCTCCCTGGACATACGAGCTCAATGTTTGACCTCCATCCCACGCTTCACTCCAGCTCAAAGTTAAGTCCCCGCACATACATGACCATCTCCTCAGAAAAGCCAGGACCACCATTAAGAGGTCGGATGTCCCGCATGGGCTGCAGCACCTGCAGGGAAGCGGTTGGGGGATGGAGAGTCACAAGCGATGCGGCCCCAGGAAGCACATGCAAGAGCAGGTGTAAGGGAAAAGCTAACCGACTCATGAACAAACTCAGACAACAAGGGATTTTAGCGGGAAGGAGTCCCGGCCGGATAGGGCAGCCGGACTCTAGAGGATGGAGACGTAGGAGCCCCGAAGAGCCTCCCTGGAGGAGGATGGGGAGCAGGCAGAGGAGGAGGCGGAGGAGGGGGATGGGGAGCAGGTAGAGGAGGAGGAGGAGGAGGGGGAGGAGGAGGAGGAGGGGGAGGAGGAGGAGGGGGAGGAGGAGGAGGAGGGGGAGGAGGAGGAGGAGGGGGAGGAGGAGGAGGGAGAGCCCCATCACGTCGTGGGCTCATCCTTTTCCCAACCTTATCTTATAACCCCCCCGGCCCAGCCCCGACCCTTACTTCGTTGAAGTCGCAGCCCAGCCCCTCCACCACTTGCCCTAGCAGCTCACAAGGCAGACTTGCAAGCTGCATGCGGGGGGCACCATACACCTCCTGTACGGCGGTGTACGACATCAGCTGTCGCTCCGGTACAGGGCCCAGCACGGACTCCAAGTCCCGTAGGACCTAAGGAGGGTGGAAAGGGGGGGAGCTTGTTAGGAGGGTAGGGTGATAAACTGGAGTTTGACATTGAACATTGTTTTGCGTCCCATCACCTTCCCTGCATATGCTGTACGTTATATACATAAACTTACAATACACGCCGCCAGCACGTCAGTACGAAGTCAGCGGGCTCCTCAAAGGCACTCTTAAGGCTGGGCCAAGGCCGCGCCGTAGTTCAATTTGTGACCGCCCTCGTTCGGGTCTTCATTGCCAGCACCCTCTTCACTCACTCCCCTTCACTTCCCGCCCGTCACAGCTCAGAGCTGCCGTACACACGTAAAACTCAAGAGAAGCGACACATTCTTGAGACACGGAGACACGCAGCAGCCGGCGGGCTCCCAATGCTGTCCCCTAACCTTCCCAAGTTCACCACTACACGAACCGCGAACACCACTGTACGGCATTGGAACTCTGCCACATTATCAACCGTACCGCAATCCTCTCCATCTCCCGTCTCCGCCCTCCTCACACATATACGCAAACACACATATATATACATATATATACATAAACATATATATACACACATATACACACACGTACACGCAGCCTCAGTCTCTTGCTGGCCCAACAACCTGGCCGCACACCCCCCCGCCACTCGGCGCCACTGCAGCGCTGCCCACTGCAGCTCCTGACCTCTTCTGGCGCCGCCCCCTCCGTCAGCATCTCATTCAAAAGCTCAGCACACCACTTCCAGAGGTGTACACACCTAGGGTGCGGTATCTTCCTTCTCACCTCAACCGGTTGGCTACGAGGCCCCGTACAGCCCTAACAAAGATATACACACTGATACAAACGTGCACATGTGTCGCCTAAACAGGCCATACGGCTTAGTCCCATAACCGCAGCCACGCGGCCACTTACCGCGCGCACAGATGCATACATGCACGTACACACACGCGGGGGGGCATGGACACGTCCCGCCCCATTCCCCCCAGTCCAAAACCCCACGTCCCCCCTCAAAGCAAGGTCCCTCCACACCTCTTTGGTGACACTCAGTCGCAACATGGCCTCCATAAGGCCCCTCCTCAGCCCGTACTGGGGGGCGCTATCCGGGTGCGGCGGCAGTGGCGGGGCGGACATGAGCTGGCTGCTGGCGAGGGGCTGCTGGGGGGGAGGGCTGCTGACAGCGGCCTCGCCACCCACCATCTCACACCACCTGCCGCTGCGCCACAGGTACTCCAGGCCTAAACGCCGGGGGTTGGGTTGGGTTGGGGCAAGGCAGGGTTACGTGAGGCGAGCTGGTGGGGGAGGCTGGGTGGGGTTGTGTCAGCTTCTTGTTCTTGTTCTCCTTCTTTTGAGCTGCGGACGGAAAGGTTGCGGGGGTCCCCCCATGTGCAAGTACATGTCGTCTCTGCGGGCTCTCCTGCCAACACCGCCGGCCGCTGGCCCCCCCCAGCCGGCCGGCCGGCCGCTTTCTATCCATTCCGACGTGGCCATTCGGGGCCGGTCATTCTGGGGCTGCACCGCATACACAGGTGGTATTTGGGGGTGGATGGCTGGGGCAAGGGACGGCAATGGGAGTCGGGGACGCGGTCAAAGTGGTAAATGGCAGACAGGGCCCATGTGCGGGGGGGGGTCATGGAAGCTCCCCGCAACACTACAAGCCCGATTGCGCTTTCGCAACAGTAGGACACACCGGGTTGCGGGTATTGGGGGCCGCGTCGGCAGGTGGGGAGGGCGGGCGATGTGAGAAGGTGGTTATGCGGGCAGGCAGGGTGGGATGGGCGGGTGGGCAAGGGCGTCGGCAGGCGGGTGGGTGAACTGTTTGGGGCCGGTGTTCCTTACGGGGGAGGAAAGGAGGAGAGGGGCGGAGAGGGGACATGTATGTATGTTTTTTTTCCTAGGGTACAGGTGCTCAAACTCCATTTGCCCTACCCCACTACGGGGTTCACCGAACCCCTTCAACCGCTTTGCCTCCCTGGCCCCAAACCCCACCTCTCTCCCCTTATCCTACCTTCCCATCTATTTATCTATTTATTTATTTATTTATTTATCTATCTATCTATCTACATGTCTACCTTCTTCAACCCATTTCCTCTGCCCGCGGCCCTCTTGTGCACGTACACCCTCCTCTCCCGCTCCCTCCCCCTCCCCCTCCCCACCGCCTCCACCCCGTCCTACCGGGCAGATGTGCGCTCCCCACTACCAGCGCCAGACTGGCGGGTGCGGACCCCTCGGGGGAGGGGGGCCCACCCGGGGGGGGTTGCGGCGGGGGCAGGAGCGCGTTGCGGCACAGCGCGTGAATGACGTGCAGCATAACCGCCTCGCGCTCCTGATGGGTGGGTGGGCAGTACGGAGCGTTCCGGAATCCGTGTATGTGTGTATGTGTATGTGTCATGTCATGTTCACGTCTGGGCCGGCTGCCGAGGATTGGGTGTGTGTGGATTGAGCGGATCAGTGCGCACCTGCATCATGATTTGCTCGGTCACAGGCAGGTTCTCCGGGTCGTACGGCAGCGGCGAGAGGCCCAGAAAGGCCCGGTAGTTCTGTACGGCAGCATAACTAAAGCCCTGGTCCAGCTGCGGTATGGTGGTCAGGCCGAACAAGCGCCTGGCCGCGGTTGCGGAGTCAGTCACCCCGGGGGGTGAGGTGGGGTGAGGTGAGAGGGGGAGGAGGTGGGGTGAGGGCAGCAGGGCCATTAGGGGGCAGTCGGCATCCCTCAACCGTGACACGCCAGCAGCAGCTCTCAACAGCCCACAACCTCCAACAGCTTCTGAACATCCCGGTTGAAATTCT